TTTTAGTTTACAATGATATTTCAATTCCTTGTTTCTGTTGTAAAAGAAAGCACACAAAAGACCTTACTTGAATATTCCAGCTGACACTGTTCTTAACGTATATAATAACAGTTCTGCTAGGATACAACCAGATTAGTTTTCTATTTTAAAAAATCATATAGTTTAATCCATAGAGTTTGTGTCAAATGATATTGAATCTCCGAAAAAGAGTGACAGAGGTTAAGCTCGTTAGGTTTTGGTCATTAAATGTTTAGGGCAGTATTTTGATTAATTGTTCTAATTCTCGTTGCAGTGCCCTCGAATCATTGATAAACAACGTAACTCAATTTACATAAACCAATATTTTCTGGTGGTTACTATATCCGCCGAAATTCCCTTTCATCAGGAACGAAAAATCTATTATACCATAAATTAAGTCAAACAATTGCCTAAAATTGTTGAAACTAAATTTCATGGGAGGGACTTATTTTAAAGGAGACTAAGATTTCAGCCAGAGCATATACATGATATATGATTTAACGAATTTAAGTATCGTTAAATTTATACAAGTCGCTACTGCGTGTTATAGGTAAATGTATGTGATGCTATGTAATTGATGTATGTAATGTTGACTCGTCTTTAAATAATTTCCCAGATCGAAAATATTTTAGTCAAAAAAAGCTAGCTGAATAAATTTAAAAAAATTAAATGATATGGAAAAATGGTCTTAAAAATACCTTAATTCCCAAAAATTTGGGGCGACAAAAAATTTGAGCGGGCCTCTCGCCCAAATTTTTGCAGACCAAATTAATTGCATAAATCTTTTCCGTCTGCTAAATTTTTTGCTAACCAAACTTTTGGCATTTGGCCTGTGGCCCTGAAATCTATAGAAAGATGGCTTTTTCTTCATATCCAAGTGAAATAATATTTGAAATTTTAGTTTTCTAATCTGTCATTCCATGGCTTGACCAAGTAAAAAGGCTTATATTTTAAATGAATAGAATAACTGGAATAACAAAAAATTGAAAGGAAAATGACTGGAATAATAAGGAATAATAATGACTAAGGCAAATATCTAACTGAAATTTTAGTGGAAAATCGTTCATTTTTCGAAGAATTTGTGCCCAAATTTTCGGTCGCCCAAATGAGTTCAAATTTTCTGCCCAAATTTTTGGGGCTCAAATAAATTGTGCTCAATATAATGGCACACAAATTTTTGGGAACTAAGGTACGACTAATTTGTTGTTGACTTGAAATTAACAAAATTTGTGACTTATATTATGGTAACCATAATATTTATGGGAACCAAAGTTATTGTGAACCAAATTTTTTCAGGCATGGTGGGCTGAACATGGAGCTACCGAAAGCTGCGAATCATTTAGAAATAAACTCAAATGCAGCAGACATACAGAAGCATTAGTTTGAGTTAAGTTGTAAAGCTTCTTTAAACTTTTTCATCACAAAGAGAAATTTGTGTTAAATAGTAGTGGTAAATTTAAAGGGCGTGTTGGTAGACCTAATACAAACTTATATCAAATATGCTTGTTGATGACCTTAAATATAGAAACTTAGAACTTAGAAATTTGAGTGATTTAAATGAAATAAGGGATATTGCTAGCTGTAGGAAGTGTTGGAAACTGTTGTACTAGGCACAGATTACGTAGTTAAGATGTTTTCTTAATGGAGTTCTATTAACTATGTATGATCCTGTTTTATAATAAGATTATTTGTATAGAGTCGTATATAATAATGTTTCTTCTTAGACTGCCAGAGAGCACAGAAGATGGCTACTAGACAGCTAAAATCGATACTTTACGAGCCACCAGGGGATGCCTTTTTTCGATGGATAAAGTAAGTGCACCGACTTTTGACGCTTAAAAAAGTAAAAAGGACTTTTCACAGAGATATTTTGGTACCATCTTATGATGGCCTCTCATATGTATCTTTCGCCTTTCGGATCAATTTATTCCGGTCAACAAAGTTTCCTACTCCAGGCCATTAAATTGCTCCGTCAAAAACGCTATTATACCGGAGTTTTATTATAGTCAGGAGTTGGACGTTTTTCTGTACGCTTAGCTTGTCAATCTATGGTGTAGTTACCGTATAATATAAATGCTGTGAACACATTTTTCACTTGCTCGTTGACGAGGGTCACGTGATGGTAGGCGAATTTGTCAAGTTTATACGACTATTGTAATTGTACAATAAAATATTTATATTTTTGTATCCTTGTATCCGTGACCTCTGACAGGACACCGGTCATCTCGCCCAAGTTTTCCCGGGAGAATCAGATCTCATGTCAACTAGCGCGTGATCATCCCGGCCTGGGTGGTCCACTTGTAATGTTGTCAAACGGGAACCTCGGCCTCGCACATCTGGTAGTGAAGTACTGATTACAGCTGCAGGTCCTCCAAATTCACGAAGTCCAACAAGTCCTTGTATGAGCCATCAGTGTAAATCACGGTACTTTTCTAATCATAATCGCTTAGCTTGGCATCATTCAATGGACATTTGTTGTTCAAAAGAAGAAAAGTCAAAAATGAGAGTGAACGGTGACTGCTTATTGCATAAGCTCTTAAATCTGCTAACCGTACATAGCTCACGCAGCTGTCTACAGTTGCTGGGCTCGTTCCGGGTCAGAAATTTAAAGTTTACTGCGGCGTGGGGCTACATCGTCGTTCTGCTGTCGTGTACATTTAAGAATGTGGTGTGGAAAGAGTTCTGACTTTTCCTGGAGTAAAGATATATGTCGGCCGTCTTTGTCACGGAGAAGTCTTTAAAGCTTTAAAGCTCTGAGCTTGACCTATTAAAAGACAAAAGATACATTTGCACGTCACGAGTAATGTGACCTACTGAAAAAAAATCGGGCAATTTGAAAATTTAGTCAAGTTCACACATGCACAATCAACCCCTCATTGGTGTGATCCTCTGATCCGGGAAATCGAGATGTCCTCTCACAAACAACAGTTTATTAGTAACAAGCATAACACGATTTTCCAATCTATTAACGAAGTTTGAGCATTTAGGGTCAAAGCAGAGACTTGGGTCGATGTGAATCGGCTTAAAAATAACAAATTTGGGGTATCTTTATTTTACATCTTGGTCGAGACCTGTCACCAGCAATATGATTTCATGTTGCCTTATTCAGGCGGGCGAAACTCACGTTACATGCGATCTGATCATCTGACTCTCACGATCGAGATCGGTAGCTTTAACTCACCAGCTCCAACACGGTTTTTTAGACTTTTTTCGGTTTTTCGAGCTGCCCTTCTCCCCTGAGGCCACGATGAAAAACATACAATATATTATATCTTTATTCTTTATATGTTACATGCATTCCCTGCAGTAGTGAAAAGTAAATTGTTTGTTTTATTTCAGTGTCGACAGCTCAAACTATGGTGGTATCTTATCGCTACAATGCTGCTAACTAGACTCTTGGATGAAGTTAAGTTGTTTTAGTCAGATGATCTACTTTTTGGCGTTTCCTACTGCCCTAGTTATAGTAGTTCAAGGTTTAACTGTAAATATAGTGTTAAGTAAGTTTCAATACTTCCCTGCCACCTTTTCAGACATTGCAGAGATGTGTGACCGCACAATTCTCAAACCGAAGAATCAAAAGGAGTTATTGATTTATCGGTATATAAAGTAGGTATGCTTTATCAAACAAAGCCACTAGGTAAGCAAATTCAAATATTTTGACAGTTCATACTGCGGTTATACATTGCAGCCAATGCGCAGCAAACAAGAGCTTGCCACTGCTATAAGCATTCGTATTCGTAGCTTGTTTGAATCTCAAATTTATTCGAATTATCATAAGTAGCCGGAAGCCCGTCCTGCGGACGGAGTTCTTCAGCACAAAATCGATTCTCAAACATTTTAAATCTACCCTTTCTCATTTCTACTTCTTTTCCTTTCACAATTTTCATGTTTTAAAAAAACTTCTTACCCCTATCCATGTCACCTATGATTCATGCATTTCTAGCTTCTCGGACAGTGCTGTCTTTTCCCTCATTGGCAAATCCTGAAAGTTTATGAAAAATATAGATCAGAGTTATGTTTGTTCTGCACGTCTGCATTTCAGGTATTCGTGACACAGTTTACGTGTGATGACGTGGGCATCTCTCAACACACTTTGCAGCATGAGCGACGGTGCCGTGGCGGGATATCTGGAAATGTAGCCTTGAGCTCAGTTTATTTTTCTCCGTCACCTCACCCGGGGGAGGGGGGGGGGGAGCCAATGACTTTGGGTACTTTGGGGACAAGTGCAGAATTTCGCCAGCAATTTAACCTCAAGTCTCCAAGATTTTTAGCCCCCATTGGTACCCAAAAGTCTCCTTTAGAAGTCATTTAATAAAAGATAATATCAAAACTACATAAAACTCGCCAAAACTTTGGGTACTTATGGGGACAAATGGAAAATTTCACCAGCGATTTGACCTTCAGTCCCTATGATTTTCGTCCCCATTGGTGCTCAAAAGTCTCCATCAGTAGTCATTGCCCCCCCCCCCCCCCCCCCCCCCCCCCCCCCTCATCCTGTGTCGGCTGTATTCAATTCTGATTGTACCACGGTTAAAAAATGCCAGTTAAATGTACCAACTCTCGTTTTATTTATTGTACCGACTCTCGCTCTTCGACCACGCTTTTCGTCTACTTGGCGTAGGGCGCGGTAATATTTCATGTAATCACGCACACACGTATCGCGCGCGATGTAGAAATAAGTGCAGCGCACATGGTCTTGTGGGTGACCCCCGTAATCCATGTGGTGGGGCAGGAGGGTCAAGCACTGTTTTTGTGGGTGACCCCCGTAATCCATGTGGTGGGGCAGGAGGGTCAAGCACTGTTTTTTCTGAAATGAACCTCCTGATCCATGTGGTGGGGCAGGAGGGTCAAGCACTGTTTCTGAAATGAACCTCCTGATCCATGCGGTGGGGCAGGAGGGTCAAGCAATGTTCTTCTCAGGTTGACCCTCCTGCGCCATTATACAAACTGCTAAACTTGGCTTACTGTTTTAAAATCGTGACCTGAAATTGTTGAAATTCCAGCCTCCAAGATCAGAGTTGCTTTTACGTCCTCTTAAGAGGCTATCGAGATTCGAGATTCCACACTGTGTATGCTCTTTTCTCTGTACTTCCGGGGGTTGTATAAACCTGAAAAATCAAACAGTTCAATACCAGAGAGAATGCTGAAGACTCAGAAAGTTGTCCAAAAATGTTTTCTTTAAATACACAAATCCGTATTTTTCTCTTTAGTAGCGATTTGAAACAAAATTTACCTTCTTTCGGACTGAATTTTTAACTGAATTGAAGTATAAACGATGACCTCTACAATAGTATTAATTACTTAGTAAAGTTATCGTCAGAAGTCAAGTTATGGTTGATTTTTAAAGCTTGAAAAAGCTAAAATTCAAAAAAAACTTTGCTCAATGACGCGCGGCTCAAGAATGCGCGTGTGTTGCGAGCGCAATTATTGCTTACAATTTTCTTTCATTCGGCAAAAAAACAACTGTGACCAACATACATGTTATAAAACTCTGCCTAAAATCCTGGAATGTTCTGGAATTATAAAGTGTGCAAGGATTTAGGATCGTAATCAATTTTCCCGCCAAATCCAAACTTTTTCTTGTAGCATATTATCACAAATACGGCGTGTACAATTTTTGCGCGTTATAAACCTAGATTCGTTCTGGCGAATAACGAAGCCTCTAGTTCACATCCAATGAGCGGGCTAGTATCATGAAGGAAAGATTTCGAGTTGAGAATACGTCAGATGGCATCTTAGAGTATTCAAAGACAGGACAACACCTGTTATGCTCCAGCTGTACAAATCCCTGATAAGGTCCAGAGTGGAGTACTGCTGCCCGCTTTGGAATCCAAACAAGATCTATGATATCCAGAGCATACAACGCCAGTTCACTAGACGGATTCTAGGGCTCAGAGACACCGATTATTGGAATAGACTGAAGGAACTGAAACTTACATCACTGCAAAGACGCCGAGAACGCTACACCATCATACATCTGTGGAAAGTTCTCCAGGGTATATGGTCATGTTAGAGATTGATGGGTCCCTTTTTTACTTTTTTCTAATAAATCATCCTGTGTTAGTGGAGCTATACTGTGACATTTGGATACATAGCTTAGGTAGCGAAAAATCACATCCTCCTCATAAAAAAGAAAAGAAATTAAAAGCTCAACCTGGAGCGAAACTATAGCCATTCTTGTATTTAAAGAGAGTTGTGATAACTGAGCACCTGTTCTGATAATTAAAACTCTCAAATTATGATCAACGAGCAGTAAATTTATGGTTTTGATGCAGATTGAACAGTAGAAACATATCAAAAACTGAGGCTCCACCAAAGCTGATACAAACTCAAAATGGCCCTAAAACTGCATTAACTAAACCTCCCCCCTCTTCTATGGACTGATTATTCCTAGAAAATCGATGACCCTCTACCGCAACATGTTCGAGGAGATAAACACCTGGGCTTCTTGGGCCTTGGGGCTACCAACCACAATCCATCCTCATGGACTACGAGGTCTCCATTCACAACGCAGTTTCCTCATGCCTGCCTGCCTAGTATGGGCCGAAAATAAACTAGTAGTAAACTATGGCTCAGATCATATCTCAAATTGGCAATGTTACGTATACAAATTTGCAAGTAACAGTTCAGATCATGTCTCTAATTGGAAATGTGTCGTATTGAAATCAGATCACAATTTCGGACAGATGTCGTTTTTTTTTCTGGTACCCTTAGTCGGACAGATGTCGCTGTCGGACAGATGTCGCTGTCGGACAGGAGTCGTGTTACCGGAGCAAATGTCAACTTAGCGTCTAAAAATGTGTTTAAAGTGCTCCACCAGGTTGATACAAACATTTTGAACTCAATCAATGATTCCATCAGAAAGATATGATAATTGTTAACTCATTTTAATGATCAAACATTCCCAATTATGATCAACTATGGTGGAGCAGTAAATAGAAAATCACTAGTTTACGTCTCTAATTTATGGTTTTGATGAAGATTGAACAGTAGAATCTATTACGTATTACATAAGTTCTCACGCAACACTCTGTAATATAGATTTAGCTCCCAGTGCTCCACCAGGTTGATCTAATTGGTCAATATAATTATTACATACCACTGTACTAGGATTGCTAGCTGAGGGGACAAGATATCAGAGGGATATTTAAGTCCACGAATTTCTTCCTAAATACAGTAACTAAAGATCCAATTCTGCTCCACCAGGTTGATCCCAGGGGTATCACTACTTTATAAATCACTTAGGGGTGAACTATCATACATATTAGAAAGCTATAAGTTCAATTAGTTCTAATTTTAGTACTCTTAAAAGATGGTTTTAAACGTCCAAAATTTAGGCTTTTAAATACGAGCTCCACCTTTGTTGAGCAGTTTTTGGTAGTCTTAATCACCATAGTATTATGATAATTAGCGTCTGGAATAATATTCACAGATCATTATGAGACAAGTTTAATGGCAAAATGACTGATTTTGAACAAGTCAAGTTTTAGAATGAGTCCATCCACTTGAGTTGGGACCTTATGGGACCTCCTAACAAAGCAAATGGTATTAAAAACTATGTGCCATTGAGTTTACAATGAAGTTTTGGTAGAAATTATAATATGACCATGTTTTCACTTGGTATAAGTTGACCTATTTTACACTGGCCGCTCCACATAGGTTGCACACCAAAAGTGTCTCAACCGAAACAATACGTGTTCCCATTATATGCCTTCTTCACCTGTAGACATTGATAAATACAGATATGCCACATCCACCTTCCCACAAGTGGAGCACTTTAATTGTGTTTTTTAATGGTCACTGGCTCCACCAAAGTTGATATTTGGATTTTCTGATGACATGAATCTGTAGAGAAGTGTCATAGGAATACTGTGGTGAAATATTTTCTGCAAGCTAGCTATGGTTTGGATTTTATGAAGTCATAACTGATTGACAGTGAAAAGTAGGTAATTAGTAGGGAAAAAAAGGGACCCATCAATCTCTAACATGACCATATGTCCAAATGAACTAGATGTACAGTTCAGAGAGAATGTCAGACTGGGAGTTAAAGTTATACTCCCTTCTCTCACAAAAACTGAACTTGAAGTAATAATGAATCTCAAAGAGACGGATGGACACTGGATAGCCAGATGATCAAGGGTCGACCGAGGGTAGGATTTGCGACCGATGCCGAAGAAATTTTGCTTTTAGTAGCAAATGCACACTCAACTCCTTCCTGCTACTGGAATACACTATACACTAGTGTACGTGTAATAGTGTATACATAGTATATTACACACCAGACCTATCCATTCATAAGGAAACATTGTCAATTAGCGGAAACCGTGCTGATGGTCTGGTGATATCATTCATTCCCAATCAAGTTCAACTGTCACTCAGGCGTGAGGTTCTGGGGTTCATCAACTGAGCTACTAATGGATCAGAAGTTTTACTCCCCGTTTAATAGTCCGAGTAGTTATCAAATATTCAGTCAGAACTTTCAATGAAAGGAACAAATCATGAAACTAAATAATAATACACGATTAAATCAGATTGTTATTTGCTATTGTGTATTCAATACGGTTATTATCACCTTAGTATCCTTGTTTCCTACATGTGTAATAAGTAATATCTCACCCAAGAGGGAGACAGCAAGAACTGTTGGAGTATTCCAATACCTCCAGAATGTGTCGCCATACACTGTACTACCATTTATAACCTGAGAACCATGTAAGGAAAGGATTAAATTAAACTCATTAGATTCGAAATAATGGCGCTTAATAAAATCTAGTATCTTATTGGGTTATTAAACTAACCTGCCTTCAATCAAAGAAACAAGCTTGGGAAGAACTAGATGTAAATTAGGCGCAAGTTTAATATCGGAGCAGAGCTATTTAATAATACAATGAAACAATAAGTTTTATTTTACATTCCTTTAATCATAAATACCCTAAATAAAATGAGAGCTTAAACCACGAATTAGTTAACTAGAGGTAAACTTGAAGAAATGTTCGTTGGTGATTGTATATAATTATTTTAAAAACTTTATTTGGTTGTTAGTATTTTTATTATGGCAAGTGGTTGAATTTAGGGAAATTCAGTGAGACAAGGTCAGTTTCTATATTGTCTTAGAAAACTAAATGAAGCTCAGATCAAGAAATTTGAGGAATACTTGGTGAAAGTTTTTCAAGCTTACAACAGAGTTTGTCACATTTGACATGTTAAGAGCCTATCAATAAAGAAATAATGATTATATATTTGACTTGCCACCAACATCGCACTGGCTAAGGGGACACATCCCCAAAGGGCCACATCCCCAGATTACTGGTCTTTCGACTTTCGTCAAAGACCAGTCCAATATGTTGGTCACATGTTTCTGTAAGAACAAAGATATCGACAACAGATGTGGCGGGAGATATAAATTCTCAAAGAAAGGTGTGCTTAGCTATGCTTATTGTGTCTGCCAAAACTGATCTGTTGCAACACAGTCAAAGACAGATCAGGCCCACCTAACTCAACCTAAGACTCTAAGAGAAAGCAGCCATTGAAACCTTCAAGAAATACACCTAAAAAGGCTAACAAAGACTAATTTCATATATTTCCTAAGAATATTTAGGTCAATCATTGCATATGAATAATGAACTGTTACTTAACTATCCCGTAAATGGAAAATCTGACTATTTTATTTATTATCAAGGAAAAGTTTAATGCTATTCATCAAATAGATTATCATCCTATATTGAGTTGTGATCTCATGTATCTATTTTACAAATTTATGTCAATTTACTACATAACAATAGTAGTAGAAGTAGTATAAAGATGTCATATGAATGGCTTAGAATTAACAAGCTGAGACGAAATGTTTCAAAATCCTCATTCATGGTATTAGACAAATGTCCTAATCTTGATAGACTGTCGATCCCTCTTGATTTGGAAGATGGCAGTCTTCACATAGAAGAAACCAAATCCCAGAAACACCTAGGTCTGGTGATAGACAACCTATTAAACTTTCAGGACCATATTGATTATGTAGGATCATGTTACTAGGAGAATAGGAGCATTATATAGGTTTTTAAAAACTACTTCCACAGAAATATAGAAAAATATTTGTAAACGCTCTTATGCTTCCTCAATTTGATTACATGGATATTATAGCTGATATTACATTTTGAATGCTTTCGACTAGTTTCTAGTACAATTGCAATTACAAAAAATTATTTTAATGCAGTCACTCAGATAAGTTTATAACAGGACACATCAACAAAGACACATACTCTGCCCACAATAAGGGGCCATAATTGTTTCAATTATGAAACTGTATAGAATTATTATTATAATAATAATTCTATACAGTTTCATAATTGAAACAATTATGGCCCCTTATTGTGGGCAGAGTATGTGTCTTTGTTGATGTGTCCTGTTATAAACTTATCTGAGTGACTGCATTAAAATAATTTTTGTGGGCGATTGTACTAATAATATATTATTAGTACAATCGCCCACAATTTAATACTCTGTACTCAGATTAAACTAACTCACCTAGCCGGGCCAAAGGGATCGGAGAGGGCGAACAGAACTGTTGTATTATTATCTCATGACGTCAGAATGTAGTTCATCTTGAGAAGAAAATATTTCCACTACTCTTCATCACATTCTGAAAAATATTATTCATTGATATATAGTATAATTACACAGCAGACTTCTGTTTTGATTTGAACGGGTCATGTTTCATGAGCAAATTAGGAGCCCTTACCACTGCCGTAGATCATAAGTCCATATTTTAGCAACCATATTTTGAGAATGCTGCATTCTGGACGGCATTCTTTTTCAGATCAATTCACCTGGACAAAAATAATTATCGAGTAGTTACCCTGTCTTCACTGCAAAAATTATTCGATGAATGAAAGATTGTTATTATCACTTATCAAACGAGATAGCTACAACAAATATCATCAAGTGTCTAGACGAAAGGTCTTACCTCTATTTTCTGGTTGCGGGTTGGTTGAACATTTTAAACTTAAAAGTTAGCGAGTGCCAGCGGTATCCATTTGCAATTGAACAATGTTAATGAAAGATATCAGCTTAAATTACGTGCATGGCATGACTCTACAAACTGGTTACCTTAAACTCAGTTTCAATACTCAAAACGAAAATATTTACTCCGCAAACATTTACAAAGTTTGCAATTTGGATAAAGCTTGGATGCGCGGCTTGACTACTTGACTAGAATTACATTGAAAAATAAAATTTCTAATGTTTTATTTCAATGTTAATGACCAAAACTTTATTAAGCCTACCATATACTAGTGTAGCGTAACAATTATATTATATATTAATCATGCCAATACCATAATTATCAATACTGAACGCGTAATATTTGTCATTAGCAAATAGAATAAACTACCGTCCGCGTCAATCATTAATTACAAATAGTCTGCTCCATTAAATAAAACAATATAATCCTTTATGAAATGACCACTTGTATATTTGAATAACAATTATTGCCAAAATTGCAAAACTGAAGTTTAAATTAATAATTAAATATAATTTGAAATTAGTCGTTGTAGTATTGCGCGCGGCGCGAGTGACTGTTCGTTCAACACACTCGCTGCTAATAATGTATGCGTCTAATGCATCATTAATGGAAGGCGCGCCGGTGTAATTTTTGCGCGCGAATTTACGATTTAAACGAAAAGAAACTGCAGGGGTTTTGGTGAAATTACGCATCGGCATAGTAGGAATTTATATTAATTGACGATGTCAATTCATCGCAGCTCGGCGCGGTAAACGTTAAATACTAGTGGAGCCGCGGCAAAGTACTAAAATGCGCGGGCAATTCTAAAATTTATAATGTCGCCGCGCCTCACGTCTTGTATTATTAGACAACAACATCAAATTCACTGTCCATATTTTGTAACAAAATCTAAAATTTCATAATACATGGTGTTGTATATGTTTTAATATCACTATAACTAAAGCGGACAAGCTTTTTATTTTACAACAATATCATTCGGTCTCCTTGTCACTGTAACACTTTGAAAGAAACACGAAGATTGAACAGCGAGACAGAGAATGGACAGTGAGACAGAAATTGAACAGTCAGACAGGGAATGAACACCGAGAAAGATTGATAGGTAAGACAGGGAATTGACTCTAAAATAGAGAATGAACACTGATGCAGAGATTGAATAATGAGACGGAGAATTAACGTCGAGACAGGAATGAACAGTGATTTAATAGTTAAACAAAGAATGATCACTGAGAAAGAGATTGAATAGTTAAACAAATAATGAACGTCGAGACAGATTGAATAGTGAGACGGAGAATGAACGTCGAGACAGAGAATGAACATTGAGACAGATTGAATAGTGAGACGGAGAATGAACGTCGAGACAGAGAATGAACATTGAGACAGATTGAATAGTGAGACGGAGAATGAACGTCGAGACAGAGAATGAACATTGAGACAGATTAAATAGTCAGACGGAGAATAAATGTCGAGACAGAGAATGAACGCTGAGACAAAGATTGAATAGTTAAACAAGAAAATGAACACTGAGACAGAGATTGAATAGTTAAACAGAGAATGAACGTTGAGACCGATTGAATAGTGAGATGGAGACAGATCGAATAGTTAGACGGAGAATATCATAATATGGTTAGTTTAATATCTAATATCTAAAATGATTGCACGGCTTTTAAAGTAATATATTATCAAACATTATCTTATCTATGTTATCTAATTTAGTTTCTTTTGTAAATATAGGATGCCACATCATTGACGGTATCTGACAGTTTCTTATATATATATTTTATGAAGACAATAGTGAAAAAGAGGGAGTGTCACGCCACGCCCACTATAATTGGGCGTGGCTTACGAAACTTTCAGGAAATCTAAGTTTGACCCATATCTATAATCTCTGAAATTTTGGTGCAATTTGGAGACGAATTACGTGAGTTATTAAGAGGTTGCGTGTGGGTAGTCACTTATGGGCCACCCTGTAATAATGCACAGACATCATCGTCCATCACGTCAAACTCAGGATCATTAACGAAGGAAGTTATTCTGTTTGAAAGCTCCCGCCAATCTCCTTTATAGTCTATGTCCCGTTTCTTCTTTCTTTTATCCCCATTTCCTCCAACCTCATCATCTTCTACTTCTTCATCCTCGTCTTCTGATGCTGGATAATCGCAGCATTTGTTTACATCTGCATCAGCTGGCCATATCCCAATATCACTTCCTGCAAAAATAATATCGGATTTTATATTTTGACTATTATAAGAATTGGAAGCAAAGCAATAGGGAAAACCTGGCAAACCCTGCGGAGATGTGATTTATGAGTCTGATGGCAGAGAGTGATAACCCACTTTAACAGACAAAATTATCTTTGTCTTTCCAACCCTGATAACAACCAGGGTCCACACGGATACCTCGCCTCGGAGGTCGAAGTAATGCCCTGCCTTTGATATTGATAATAATATTTACTGTTGGAAACTTCATATTTTCTCTACTAGCAGGCTCCACACCTCCTACATCGACGCGGACGCACTGCCATAGCACATGAACGAGTTATGAACCTCAATTTTGTCTTGTCTATTCAAATTGGAATGTAAACATGCATACAGATCAATTTAACAGACCTTTATCTTTTACGAAGAACAGTATGTTTCTGTAATATTCAGGTAGGTCCTCCCATTGCATTTCATTAAACCATCATCAATAGCTTGAAAAATATGTCTGCAGGTGCAAGTTGGTCCTCTGATGTTCAGTTGGTGGGGCTCAGACCGGTGAGAGGATTTCACATGGAATACTCCATCAACGACCTTGCACACTTTGCTTGACCGTTTACCTTCTAAAATTACTGGCTGTTGTTCAAAAAATCAAACCAAGAGAGAACACATAATATTTTGTCGCTTTATAATTCAAATTATTACAAAAAAATACTCGATTCTCCAGAAATTTGCCTTGCACATATTATGTAGTGATATAGCACCAAGTTAGTGTCGTCGTTTTAAGCGGGTTTGAAACTTTTAACTCACCCTTATCGTATTTCAGTCGAAGTTTTCTCTCCTTTTTCCACCAATCCCAGAGAAGTTTGAGTGGAAGAGTAATTAATGAGGGAAACGTTGAGTAACACTGATGAAGACAGAGAGTTACCACTAAATGGGAGAGTAACTACTGAGCATGAGGGAAATGTAGAGTATCACTGACGAAGACAGAGAGTTAATACTGAGTGGGAGAATAACTTCTGAAGGAAATGTCTAGAGTAACACTGATGAAGATAGAGAGTTAACACTGATTGGGAGAATAACTACTGAGGGAAAGACAGAGAAGTTAACAGAGAGTTAACTCTCAGTGTGAGAGTAACTACTGAGTACTGAGGGTCTAGAGTAACACTGATGAAGATAGAGAGTTAACACTGATTGGGAGAATAACTACTGAGGGAAAGACAGAGAAGTTAACAGAGAGTTAACTCTCAGTGTGAGAGTAACTACTGAGTACTGAGGGAAATATAGAATAACACTGACGAAGACAGAGAGTTAATACTGAGTGGGAGAATAACTACTGAGGGAAATATATAGTAACACTGACGAAGACAGAGAGTTAATACTGAGTGGGAGAATAACTACTGAGGGAAATGTAGAGTAATACTGACGAAGACAGAGAGTTAATACTGAGTGGGAGAATAACTACTGAGCAAAATATAGAGTAACACTGACAAAGACAGAGAGTTAACTCTCAGTGTGATAGTAACTACTGAGGGAAATATAGAGTAACACTGACGAAGACAGAGAGTTAATACTGAGTGGGAGAATAACTAAAATGAGAGAAATGTAGAGTAACACTGATGACGACAGAGAGTTAAAACTGAGTGAAAGAGTAACTACTGAGAGAAATGTAGAGTTACACTGATAGAGACAGAGAGTTAACTCTCAGTGAGAGTAACTATACTGAGGGAAATGTAGAATAACACTGATGAAGACAGAGAGTTAATACTGAGTGGGAGAGTAGCTACTGAGGGAAATATAATAGAGTAACACTCACGAAGACAGAGAGTTAATACTGAGTCGAGTGGGAGATTAACTTCTGAAGGAAATGTCTAGAGTAACACTGATGAAGATAGAGAGTTAACACTGATTGGGAGAATAACTACTGAGGGAAATATAGAGTAACACTGACGAAGACAGAGAGTTAATACTGAGTGGAAGAATAACTGCTGAGAGAAATGTAGAGTAACACTGATGAAGACAGAGAGCTAGAGTTAATACTGCGTGGGAGAATAACTACTGAGAGAAATGTAGAATAACACTGATGAAGACAGAGAGTTGATACTGAGTGGGAGAATAATTACTGAGAGAAATGTAGAGTAATACTGACGAAGACAGAGAGTTAATACTGAGTGGGAGAATAACTACTGAGCGAAATATAGAGTAACACTGACGAAGACAGAGAGTTAACTCTCAGTGTGAGAGTAACTACTGAGGGAAATGTAGAATAACACTGATGAAGACAGAGAGTTAATACTGAATGGGAGAGTAGCTACTGAGGGAAATATAGAGTAACACTGACGAAGACAGAGAGTTAACTCTCAGTGTGATAGTAACTACTGAGGGAAATATAGAGTAACACTGACGAAGACAGAGAGTTAATACTGAGTGGGAGAATAACTAAGATGAGAGAAATGTAGAGTAACACTGATGACGACAGAGAGTTAAAACTGAGTGAAAGAGTAACTACTGAGAGAAATGTAGAGTTACACTGATAGAGACAGAGAGTTAACTCTCAGTGTGAGAGTAACTATACTGAGGGAAATGTAGAATAACACTGATGAAGACAGAGAGTTAATACTGAGTGGGAGAGTAGCTACTGAGGGAAATATAATAGAGTAACACTCACGAAGACAGAGAGTTAATACTGAGTCGAGTGGGAGATTAACTTCTGAAGGAAATGTCTAGAGTAACACTGATGAAGATAGAGAGTTAACACTGATTGGGAGAATAACTACTGAGGGAAATATAGAGTAACACTGACGAAGACAGAGAGTTAATACTGAGTGGAAGAATAACTGCTGAGAGAAATGTAGAGTAACACTGATGAAGACAGAGAGCTAGAGTTAATACTGAGTGGGAGAATAACTACTGAGAGAAATGTAGAGTAACACTGATGAAGACAGAGAGTTGATACTGAGTGGGAGAATAATTACTGAGAGAAATGTAGAGTAATACTGACGAAGACAGAGAGTTAATACTGAGTGGGAGAATAACTACTGAGCGAAATATAGAGTAACACTGACGAAGACAGAGAGTTAACTCTCAGTGTGAGAGTAACTACTGAGGGAAATGTAGAATAACACTGATGAAGACAGAGAGTTAATACTGAGTGGGAGAGTAGCTACTGAGGGAAATATAGAGTAACACTGACGAAGACAGAGAGTTAATACTGAGTGGGAGAATAACTTCTGAACGAAATGTCTAGAGTAACACTGATGAAGATAGAGAGTTAACACTGATTGGGAGAATAACTACTGAGGGAAATATAGAGTAACACTGATGAAGACAGAGAGTTAATACTGAGTGGAAGAATAACTGCAGAGAGAAATGTAGAGTAACACTGATGAAGACAGAGAGTTAATACTGAGTGGAAGAGTAACTACTGAGAGAAATGTAGAGTAACACTGATGAAGACAGAGAGTGAACAATGAGTAGGGGGACATAAAATATGAAGTGCATGATAGTTGAATTACTCACACTGTAAGTTTGATGTTATTCGATGAACCAACAAATCTCACATAGGCACAGAATTTAGTGATCGTTACATCGTTTGCAACACCAATAAAAACCTGAAAAATGGAAGTAATGATGTACTATTATCTCTACTATAGTTCAGAGAATTGTTTCTGTCTGTACGACCGCCCACGTGCAAATTAGATGAGAAATAGGAAGTTGCATAGTAACCATGGTAACGAAGATTGTTGTTCCCACGTGCACGTGCAAGGATTTGAGAGAGGCATTTTGATCGGTTTTTGTTATTACGTGGTGTTAAGTGCGAGCTATATTTTAATTGGCTGTATCTTCGGTTGTGATGAATATTTTTTTGATGCGATAGAAACTGACTACCAAAGAATAGTATTAGCTTCCTCCCTGTGACCACGGGTTTTCTAGTATAATTATGTAGGGGACAAGGTTACAACGAAACAGAACATCTTACAATCATCAAAAAGCGAAGATTTTATATCAAGATTAATATACAATGTAATATATTATATTTTATATAATATATTGATATTATATAAAGGATCATAGCAAGTATGTTGAACCTGATCATAACAATTTGAGGTTTCAATACTTACGTCTCACATACCTAAAGCCAGTCAATATCTGTTTCAATGTTTCTATCATGGCAGTCCAGAGTAACTATAGCTGTATTCTCTTGCATGTTTATTATCAGTTTCGCATCAATGAGGCAGAAGGAAGTCACTGACGAAACGTATGCATTCAGCATTGCACAACTTGCAATGCACCTATTATGTTGGTAACCGTTGATGCTGTCTGCCAATTCATCACAGCAGATGAAAAAGCACTCGAAACAACGACCATGTAGCTCTTTCAAATTCAAGCTGTATAACTATAGTCTATAATGCATATTATAATATGATCTACTGATGCAGGCGAAGCTAGGTCAGGAACGCAGCAATGTGAAGTGTGAACCGACGAAACCGGAAACAGGTAACCAAAGATCTCTGAATTCTCTGGTCCATTATTCAGTTCTGATGTTTCACACACACATACCTAAAATGAAGTAAATGTTATGAACGGCTATTTTTAAAAGAATACTAGAACTTGTATTATTTTTCTTCCCAATCTATATAATATTTTCATATTATATAAGATAACTGTATCGAGTGTACTTCTATATAACAAGAATCAGCTCTACAAAAGAGAATTGGAGTTGCTAAAAAATAGCAAAAAAAACCAAATACATCTAAGTTGAGGTCAAACACAATGAAAAGTTTTCCAATGTGAAATTAATAGAAACATTTCCAACGGAAGTTTTTTAGAGGGTGAGACCTTTTTTAAATAAATTGACTGTCTAAAACAGAATTGCATATACTGCATAGGCTCAATAAAATGTGACCTCCAGATCAGTAAAATTAGGGGCGCTGGGAGAGCTGCATAGAGTCCACTAGTATTTAATATTAGCCTGTACTGGCTCAATAAAATGTGACCTCCAGATCAGTAAAATTAGGGGCGCTGGGAGAGCTGCATAGAGTCCACTAGTATTTAATATTAGCCTGTACTGGCTCAATAAAATGTGACCTCCAGATCAGTAAAATTAGGGGTGCTGGGAGAGCTGCATAGAGTCCACTAGTATTTAATATTAGCCTGTACTGGCTCAATAAAATGTGACCTCCAGATCAGTAAAATTAGGGGCGCTGGGAGAGCTGCATAGAGTCCACTAGTATTTAATATTAGCCTGTACTGGCTCAATAAAATGTGACCTCCAGATCAGTAAAATTAGGGGCGCTGGGAGAGCTGCATAGAGTCCACTAGTATTTAATATTAGCCTGTACTGGCTCAATAAAATGTGACCTCCAGATCAGTAAAATTAGGGGCGCTGGGAGAGCTGCATAGAGTCCACTAGTATTTAATATTAGCCTGTACTGGCTCAATAAAATGTGACCTCCAGATCAGTAAAATTAGGGGCGCTGGGAGAGCTGCATAGAGTCCACTAGTATTTAATATTAGCCTGTACTGGCTCAATAAAATGTGACCTCCAGATCAGTAAAATTAGGGGCGCTGGGAGAGCTGCATAGAGTCCACTAGTATTTAATATTAGCCTGTACTGGCTCAATAAAATGTGACCTCCAGATCAGTAAAATTAGGGGTGCTGGGAGAGCTGCATAGAGTCCACTAGTATTTAATATTAGCCTGTACTGGCTCAATAAAATGTGACCTCCAGATCAGTAAAATTAGGGGCGCTGGGAGAGCTGCATAGAGTCCACTAGTATTTAATATTAGCCTGTACTGGCTCAATAAAATGTGACCTCCAGATCAGTAAAATTAGGGGCGCTGGGAGAGCTGCATAGAGTCCACTAGTATTTAATATTAGCCTGTACTGGCTCAATAAAATGTGACCTCCAGATCAGTAAAATTAGGGGCGCTGGGAGAGCTGCATAGAGTCCACTAGTATTTAATATTAGCCTGTACTGGCTCAATAAAATGTGACCTCCAGATCAGTAAAATTAGGGGCGCTGGGAGAGCTGCATAGAGTCCACTAGTATTTAATATTAGCCTGTACTGGCTCAATAAAATGTGACCTCCAGATCAGTAAAATTAGGGGTGCTGGGAGAGCTGCATAGAGTCCACTAGTATTTAATATTAGCCTGTACTGGCTCAATAAAATGTGACCTCCAGATCAGTAAAATTAGGGGCGCTGGGAGAGCTGCATAGAGTCCACTAGTATTTAATATTAGCCTGTACTGGCTCAATAAAATGTGACCTCCAGATCAGTAAAATTAGGGGTGCTGGGAGAGCTGCATAGAGTCCACTAGTATTTAATATTAGCCTGTACTGGCTCAATAAAATGTGACCTCCAGATCAGTAAAATTAGGGGCGCTGGGAGAGCTGCATAGAGTCCACTAGTATTTAATATTAGCCGCTCGGCGCGGCACAGTAGCGCATCTCGCCGATATAGCTGTGTGAAGCCTCATTGAGTGCGCGGCGCGGCACAGTAACGCATCGCGCTACAAGAATTTATATCACGTTGTGACCCCCACTGTCGTTTCACTATAGAGTTTCTACGATACAGGGGCAAGGGTGAGCCGCGCACGCGTGCGCAGCGAGTCATACAACTTATGACATGGCGACAAGTAGGAATTGGCGTAAAATTAAAATAAACTCATGATACACAATACAACGCGTTGCATATTTCTTTTCACGCGTGAAAATTTTATATTTTCCCTTATACTCTGTGTAAAATTACCACAGACTATCATGTTCATAAAGATTGGAGGAATGACAGGCTGATCGTTACTGGGCTGCACTCAGCCTGTCATTCCGCCGAATCTCTATTCATGTTTATGAACATGATAGCCTTCACATAGCCATGTGTATACATGTACTGCGTGACGCGCTTGTTTCACAAGTAGAATATATCTATATATTTCCTTTGCCGCCTTCGGCGGTCGCGCGCTACTGCAAGCGAGAGGGCTCTGGTTAGAGCAAATGATAGCCTAAGGTCCCCAGGTAAGCTGATCACCGCCCGGTAAGGTAGAAATTGTTATAAATGGTCAAAATGTTTGATTTTTGCGCGTAATTTATTTTTGTTACTTTGATGATATATTAAGTAAAATACAATTTTTAAGTAAAATACAATTTTTTATTTTCCACAGAAGAATCAATACATATTGAATTATAAATATTCGATAATTCCATTAATAATCATTAAAATTTGCTTTGTCATTTGTAAAATCAAAAACGAAAAGCCGTACGCTGAACTGTGAACGCGCGCGGCGTTTTTTCTGCAGCTGCCTAGCTTCAAGCTTGTAGCTGCTAACATCAAAGCCGCCGCGCGCGCCCAGTGCTGGGGTGCATTCTCATTAACAATTAAACTTGGTCAAAGATAGTTATATACAATTCCTAAATTAAATCAATAATCATGTTAATATGAGTATTCAACACTACTCGACAACAAATATTTGCCGGCCCATCAACGATTCAGTCGCCGAAACAAAAATCAAATGTTTGCTTTTTCGTTTCGGGGACTGTTTGAACTCAGTACTATATCCGACTAATCATACTTTATAATGGTTAAAATACAAAGTAAAAAGATTTTCCTCGATGGGCCGGCATTCGCATCCGCGAAACGTTTTGAGTACGACGAACGATGACACCACCACCAGCCGTTAATTAATAAGTCCATGGGTGACGGGATAAAGTTAAAGTTATTATTATTATTTGCAAATTCTTACATACATCTAGTATTAACGGGTGATACTCGTAAAATATTTGTTCCATACATCAGGACCGTCGACGAGTCCAACTCGGCGCGCGTCCTGGTAGGTTATAAACCTACAAATCTAGTAATAATAGTCGACGATAACTAAGTATCTTCTAATTCTTTTAAATCTGAGTCATATGTAATTGATGTATCGAAAGGATATTCCCTTTTTTACCACCTTACCATTCTGATTGATTTTGCACATGACTGGCATGTTTGAACTAGAGAAGGGGTTCCCACAGTGGTAGTTTTATAAACCACTTTTAATTTATTGTCCTATTATACCTAGTGGTAGTTTTATAGACCACATTTAATTTATTAACTTATTATACTTAGTATTTATTTTTGGTGACTGTATCACCCAGTTTTAACATTTGATAATTGTACAGTTTATTGACGACACATTGACTGATTACTGAATGTTATTTTATATTCTAATTTATATTCTAGATATTTTATTTATTTTTCAACAGACGACAACTTCCTGTTTTTTTCTTCTATATTAGTTACTCATATCTCTTGTACAGACTGTTTTACAAGGACATTGACAGATGATACTCACATTAGGCATTCATTATTGCATCTAAATTATTTCACTTGCATTAGGTCTAGAAATTTATTCTCTGGTTAACAGATTTCAAATGTTTAATTAATTTGTAGTATGACAGTAAGGTATATAAGAAGTTATTTAATTTTGCTTGGGCTATTATATTGACTATTGAGGTTTAATGATGATATGGAATTTGAATTTTATATAAATTTACACTATATGGTTGGGGCATTTTGCATAGTAAATATGGTTACTACTCCTATATAGGGGGGGGGGGGTGTCACGTCCGTCATAGGCGGACATAGGCGGACATAGGCGGACATAGACGGACATAGACGGACATAGGCGGACATAGACGGACATTAGCGGACATTAATGGACACCTAAATTGCTAAATAAAATGTTCAATTTTTGCTGTTATAGGGGGATCATGTTTTTTGTCCGTTCGGTACCCTAAAAAAACGGACAAAAAATAGAGCGGACAAAAACGGACAAAAATGGAAATAACATTTAGATGCTTCCTCCTCCTACTCTTCCTCCTCCTCCTCCTGGGTCTTCCTGATCTTCCTCAGTCCTCTTCCTCCTCCCCTCCTCAGTCCTCCTACTACTCCTCCTCCTCGTCCTCAGTCCTCCTCATCAGTCCTCAACAGTCCTCCTCCTCCCCAGTCCTCCTCCTCCTCCTGAGTCCTCCTCCTGGGTCCTCCTCCTCCTCTTCATCCTCCTCCTCTTCCATCCTTCTCCTCAGTCCTCCATCCTCCTCCTCAGTCCTCCCCCAGTCCCCCTCCTCCTCCTATTCAGTCCTCCTCCTTCTCCTCCTCCTCATCAGTCCTCCTCCTTCTCAGTCCTCCTCAGTCCTCCTCCTCCTCCTCCTGAGTCCTCCTCCTCCTCCTCCTCTTCCCTCTCAGTCATCCTCCTCAGCCATCCTCCTCAGTCCTCCTGGGTCCTCCTCCTGGGTCCTCCTCCTCCTGGGTCCTCCTCCTCTTCATCCTCCTCCTCTTCCTCCTCGGTCCTCAGTCCTCCTCCTCAGTCCTCCTCATCCTTCTCATCAGTCCTCCTCCTCCTCAGTCCTCTCCCAGTCCCCCTCCTTCTCCTCCTCCTATTCAGTCCTCCTCCTCCTCCTCAGTTCTCCTCAGTCCTCCTTCTTATTTCTCCTAAGTCCTCCTCCTGAGTCCTCCTCCTTCTCTTACTCCTGAGTCCTCCTCCTCAGTCCTCCTCCTCCTCCCTTTCAGTCATCCTCCTCAGCCATCCTTCTCAGCCATCCTCCTCAGTACTCCTCAGTCCTCCTCCTTCTCAGTCATCGTCAGTCCTCCTCGTCAGTCCTCCTCAGTCCTCCTCCTCCTCCTGGGTCCTCCTCCTCCTCGGTCCTCCTCCTGGGTCTTCCCAATCCTCCCCAGTCCTCTTCCTCCTCCCCTCCTCAGTCCTCCTCCACCGTTCGGTACCCTATATTTTCAAAACGGACAAAAAATAGAGCGGACAAAAACGGACAAAAATGGAAATAACATTTAGATGCTTCCTCCTCCTACTCTTCCTCCTCCTCCTCCTGGGTCTTCCTGATCTTCCTCAGTCCTCTTCCTCCTCCCCTCCTCAGTCCTCCTCCTACTCCTCATCCTCGTCCTCTGTCCTCCTCGTCAGTCCTCAACAGTCCTCCTCCTCCCCAGTCCTCCTCCTCCTGAGTCCTCGTCCTGGGTCCTCCTCCTCCTCTTCATCCTCCTCCTCTTCCTCCTCAGTCATCAGTCCTCCTCAGTCCTCCTCCTCATCCTTCTCCTCAGTCCTTCATCCTCCTCCTCAGTCCTCCCCCAGTCCCCCTCATCCTCCTCCTATTCAGTCCTCCTCCTCCTCCTCCTCCTCCTCCTTCTCAGTCCTCCTTAGTCCTCCTCCTTCTCCTCCTGAGTCCTCCTCCTCCTCCTCTTCCCTCTCGGTCATCCTCCTCAGCTTTCCTCCTCAGTCCTCCTCCTCAGTCCTCCTTCTCCTGGGTCCTCCTCCTCCTCTTCATCCTCCTCCTCTTCCTCCTCGGTCCTCAGTCCTCCTCCTCATCCTTCTCATCAGTCCTCCTCCTCCTCAGTCCTCTCCCAGTCCCCCTCCTTCTCCTCCTCCTATTCAGTCCTCCTCCTCCTCCTCAGTTCTCCTCAGTCCTCCTTCTCATTTCTCCGAAGTCCTCCTCCTGAGTCCTCCTCCTCCTCTTCCTCCTGAGTCCTCCTCCTCCTCCCTCTCAGTCATCCTTCTCAGCCATCCTCCTCAACCATCCTCCTCAGCCATCCTCCTCAGCCATCCTCCTCAGTACTCCTCAGTCCTCCACCGTTCGGTACCCTATATTTTCAAAACGGACAAAAAATAGAGCGGACAAAACGGACAAAATGGACAAAAACGGACAAAAATGGAAATAACATTTAGATGCTTCCTCCTCCTACTCTTCCTCCTCCTCCTCCTGGGTCTTCCTGATCTTCCTCAGTCCTCTTCCTCCTCCCCTCCTCAGTCCTCCTCCTACTCCTCCTCCTCGTCCTCAGTCCTCCTCATCAGTCCTCAACAGTCCTCAACAGTCCTCCTCCTCCCCAGTCCTCCTCCTCCTGAGTCCTCGTCCTGGGTCCTCGTCCTGGGTCCTCCTCCTCCTCTTCATCCTCCTCCTCTTCCTCCTCAGTCCTCAGTCCTCCTCAGTCCTCCTCAGTCCTCCTCCTCATCCTTCTCCTCAGTCCTTCATCCTCCTCCTCAGTCCTCCCCCAGTCCCCCTCATCCTCCTCCTATTCAGTCCTCCTCCTCCTCCTCCTCCTCTTCAGTCCTCCTCCTTCTCAGTCCTCCTTAGTCCTCCTCCTTCTCCTCCTCCTCCTCCTCCTCTTCCCTCTCGGTCATCCTCCTCAGCCATTCTCCTTAGTCCTCCTCAGTCCTCCTCCTCAGTCCTCCTCCTCCTGGGTCCTCCTCCTCCTCTTCATCCTCCTCCTCTTCCTCCTCGGTCCTCATCCTCAGTCCTCCTCCTCATCCTTCTCATCAGTCCTCCTCCTGCTCAGTCCTCTCCCAGTCCCCCTCCTTCTCCTCCTCCTATTCAGTCCTCCTCCTCAGTTCTCCTCAGTCCTCCTTCTCATTTCTCCTAAGTCCTCCTCCTGAGTCCTCCTCCTCTTCCTCCTGAGTCCTCCTCCTCCTCCCTCTCAGTCATCCTCCTCAGCCATCCTCCTCAGCCATCCTCCTCAGTACTCCTCAGTCCTCCTCCTTCTCAGTCATCGTCAGTCCTCCTCCTCAGTCTTCCTCAGTCCTCCTCCTCCTTCTGGGTCCTCCTCCTCCTCCTCCTCCTGGGTCCTCCTAGTCCTCCTGGGTCTTCCTGATCCTCCCCAGTCCTCTTCCTCCTCCCCTCCTTAGTCCTCCTCCTCGTCCTCAGTTCTCCTCATCAGTCCTCAACAGTCCTCCTCCTCCCCAGTCCTCCTCCTCCTCCTGGGGCCTTTTCCTGGGTCCTCCTCCTGGGTCCTCCTCCTCCTAGGTCCTCCTTCTCCTCCTCAGTCCTTCTCATCCTCCTCCTCAGTCCTCTTCCTCCTCTTCCTCCTCCTCCTCCTCAGTCCTCTTCCTCCTCTTCCTCCTCCTCCTCCCTCTCAGCCATCCTCCTCAGCCATCCTCCTCAGCCATCCTCCTCAGTCCTCTTCAGTCCTCCTCCTCAGTCCTCCTCCTCCTCAGTCATCCTCCTCAGTTCTCCTCCTCCTCCACCTAGGTCCTCCTTCTGGGAAAAATTCTCAAAATGTTTGTCCGCTAATGTCCACCAATGTCCACCAATGTCCGTCCGAGTCCGCCAATGTCCGTCCGGGTCCGCAAATGTCCGTCCGAGTCCGCCAATGTCCGTCCGAGTCCGCCAATGTCCGTCCGTGTCCGCCAATGTCCCAAAAAACACGTCCGTTGTCTCATAGAATCCAAAAAGGACAGGACATAGGCGGACATAGACGGACATGACACCCCCCCCTATATATCATATTATTTGATTGGTATTCGATTTCTAATTATTTCCCTAGGAATATGATTATTATATCTCAATTTGGCTTTAGGTAGGGTGCCCCGCTAAAAGAACTGGATTCTTCCAGGAAGCATCCCGTGCACAGAGCTTGGTCTACATATATATTAAATTATTAACCATTCATTCTGTATGTGCACGACAATTTATTTCAATCAATCAATATCTAGGCAAATTGAGATCCTTGACTGAAGCCTGCAGTCAAGAAGCCTCAATAGAAGTTACAGTTGCAGTATGGTGATGTAATACTGTAATAGTAGTTTCTAGCAAAATTTGAAGATATTGATAATGATTTTAAGTTTAATAACACTACTTTTAAGATAAAACGTATACCCAGCATGACAGCATTTAATCTCAACATCCCAGAAATGTACCTTGTGCTTGAAAAGATATCGGTAATACTAATGCAGAGAGTTAAACCGAATACACTACAGAGAAGCTCTAACTATGCTCACCAAATTTAGAATTAAAATATCTGAACATTTCTTGCAGACAGGTTGGAGCCAATCCTAGCAAGGACTTGTGAAAAAGTAGTAAGATTTTGAATACAATCCTTTTCTTTATATCCAACCAGTAAAGATTGATCAGGTCATCCTCAACATGGTTGTTTTTATATTTCTCAGAGTCTAACAAGTGACTATGTGAGTGGGCGGGCTGCAGCACTCTAGTTGTCGGAACCTATCTACAGTAACAACTATCTGTTTGGTCTACTGAGAAACCTTTTGGTAGATCCATGAGCACTCAACAACTATGATGACGAAGTATCTTGCTGTCCTGTTTGTCAAAGAATTTATTGAGCAATTACAGTTATCCAGACATGCCACAAATAGAAGGGGGGGGGGGGGGGGGGGGGGGGGTTCTCTACACTTTCTACACAGGCAAAAGCGTAGTATAAAAAAGTGTAGTGTAAAATAGCCTAAAAAGTCTCAAAAAGTGACTTTTTTCTCACCAAAGGTATGTTTTACCACTGTTTTGCCTTTGGAAATGTACTATGTGAAGACTGATGGGAAAATAACCGTAAATAATAGTAAAAAAGAAGATTTTGAGAAGATGAATTGGTTTAGTGTAATTTTAGTTGTAAAAAAGTGTAATTTAGTGTATCTTTTTTACTACCCTTTTTACTACACCGTACACAAAAAAAGGCAAAAGTGTAGTAATTAACAAATTGTTCAGGTCAATTGAGGTTATTCCGACTTAGATGCTTTTTAGTTTCAATTAGTTTTCCCAAGAATGTAAGGTTAGAGACACATCTCCACTATTGTCAACTTTGCAAACCACACTAAACGCTTAATGGTGCAAGAGGAGTTGGACCAGACAGGTGTAACATAGCGACTACTTTAACGCCGTCTTATTTCGCCTCTCTCTTCCACACTCAACCACCACTTAAGCGTTCATCTATGACACACCCCACAACACTTACCATCATCCTTGATTACACATCTTGATTCCACCGGCATCCTCCCACAGGACTGCCATACCCCAGAGGTAGGCAAAGCATTCATATGCTATCCTCTCGTGGGCCAAGCAGGCCCAGCCTCTCTTTAAAAAATTATTTTTAAAAAAGTTAGAGACTGTACATGTAGTTTTTAAAGATCCTGATATTCATTGAAAACTAGTGTGTTGTAGCTTATGATTCCAGACAAATTGGCATGTACCGTACCTATGCAGGAGTCGGTAAAAACCCCCAATTTTATGTTAAAGATTATATGTTTTATAAATATCATATATATTGGAGCTTCTGCTTCAAAAATGGAGGGTATCGTGACACTTTTCACTGGTAACTGATTGGGTCCAATGATAGAACATTCTGAAAACAACTTCAATTCAGGGGTGGCATCTTGGAGCGTAAGGGTGGCACTTATGCAGTGTATGTTATACTACTGCCTGGAGTTCAAAACTACTGATAATGTTACTAATTGAGTTTGATTTCACCAAAATTTATCTAAATCAAAATTCTAACTTCACAATCAAATATCCCAAGATTACCCTCCATTTACCATCTTACATCAGCCAATTCGAGTGAAATATTTATGATTACAATGCAAATACATTTAAATTTCTCAACTGGAAGTTATAAATATTAAAAAATGTTATGAAACACAAAATCATCTTGTTCCTATGATATTAACCTGATAGCTCTGGTAATGTTCTGTAACATTTCCATTTATTTAACTCACTGTTTTCCCCCACTTAGTTGTTGTAGATGCTTGGATAACAATGTATGCTGTGAGAGGAAAACTGCTCCGATGTATACCAGTACGTCATGTGCTGCGTACAGCATTCAAGTCGAGTGCTGCAGCGGAACCCTTCCTCAACGGATCATCCTCCACTTATGTTGAGGACATGTATGAGAGCTGGAGAGAAGATCCGTCCAGTGTACACAAAGTAATGTTTTTTATTTCACTTTTTTGTTACTGAGGCTCATTTTGTGGTATTAAGACAAAGTGATAGTTGGTATTTTATTAAAGATTGCACAAGCCAACTATTAACAAAATCATGACCATTTTATTTCTCAAAAGTATGCTATATTTTAAATCAGATATATCTATAAAATCAAGAAGCATCATTAAAAAACATGCAAAACTTTAAATTATGCTATTTTAGGAATTCCAAAACTTTTATCGATAGAACTATTGCATTGTGTACAAACATTGTACGAATTGACTTCCCTGTCCATGAATATAAAGTATTAAGTATGGCAGCTGCAGATGACTAATATTTAATTGTTCACACCATATCCACTATCCAGTCATTGATGAGGAAGATTATTTTCCATAGCCTCCATTAATCTCGTAACGGTATTACAAAACATTCAACTGATAACGGAAGATCAAATTACAGTCGTGGCAAATCTTCTTCTCCCGGACGGAAGGAGGAGCAGGACCTGGAGAAGCGCATGTTTCAGCACCCAACATGCCTGTCTATCCCATGTTCGCACCAAGCGCTGCAGTTCCAATGACGGAAGCTTCGGCTGGCGATGCAATACAAAGCACCAGAGCCGGACAGAGTATGATTCTGAAACATCACAACTTTCAACGATTACTGAGAGCATATCAGGTTAATGTAACCCGCTCTAGATTGTGTTGTAAAACATTGTGGATTATTGTAATTGTGATTATAATTATTGTAATTATAATCAAAATAAGAATAAGAATAAGAAAATAATTATAATTATAATTAGATGATTCAACAAGTTGTGAAACGTTATAAAATCAGTTTTATAAACTACTAACAGAATATACTAATAAAACTTATAGATTAAATTAATATGGATTATCTTGACGATTTATAAAGTTATAATTGTAAAAATAATAATAAATCATTGACTACAGTTCGTAATTTTCTGTCCATTTCAAAAAGTATTTTTTATTAATGATCATTTCTCTGCAGTCTTCTGGCCATCACATAGCGAAGTTGGATCCACTTGGTATTGGCTCTGCGGATCTTGACAGCACGGTCCCAGATATACTCACTCTGGAATACTACAACTTTAGTAAGTCTGATGCTGTCTTGTCTAAAATTAGTTTGTGTGTCTTGTTTTTATACACGCATCTCAAAAATTCATTTGTTTGTCTTGTTTTTATTCACGCATTTCAAAAACAATCACTACATGTTTATTGTTTAATGGTTCATCTGTTTTGTAGGTGATTTCACAAAAATAAAACTTGTGGTGCATTGTTAGTGTTCAGATTGCGATTACGGTTAAGCTGGTCCAGAGGTGCTGCACCTGTGCTGCACCGTTCATCCACATTCCACTTGTTAGTTTATCCTGTTTTTTGTTTCAACTATTCTTAATTGTTGTGCTCGAGATCAGAGATGTCCTCAGAAATTAGTGGGTGTTTTGTTTCGTGAGTCATAGAAAGACATTTATTTTCCCCAGAACTTTGTGCCCCACTAAAGCCCTAACACTAAGTCTAGTCCTTACCTTAACTTAGCCCAAACATTCACCCTTACCAATACCCTAGTCCAAACACTCACCCTTACCAATACCCTAGCCCAAACACCCACCCTTACCAATACCCTAGCCCAAACACCCACCCTTACCAATACCCTAGCCCAAAGACTCACCCTTACCAATACCCTAGCCCAAACACTCACCCTTACCAATACCCTAGCCCAAACACTCACCCTTACCAATACCCTAGCCCAAACACCCACCCTTACCAATACCCTAGCCCAAACACCCACCCTTACCAATACCCTAGCCCAAACACCCACCCTTACCAATACCCTAGCCCAAACACTCACCCTTACCAATACCCTAGCCCAAACACTCACCCTTACCAATACCCTAGCCCAAACACCCACCCTTACCAATACCCTAGCCCAAAGACTCACCCTTACCAATGTCCAATACCCTAGCCCAAACACCCACCCTTACCAATACCCTAGCCCAAACACTCACCCTTACCAATACCCTAGCCCAAACACTCACCCTTACCAATACCCTAGCCCAAACACCCACCCTTACCAATACCCTAGCCCAAAGACTCACCCTAACCAACACCTTAACTGATGCACGACGTCCTGGGACTGGACGACAGTTACTCAAGAAGCCAAGGGACAAGAAGAAATGATTTGATTGATAACTTATTTATTGATAAATTGGTTACAAATCTTGAGTCGCCTTCTTTTTGACATCCCATTTATTTATCTGCTTCAGGTGGAGCTTGAATATTAATGCAATAGAATCTGCCCAGAATCTAGCAGTTTATTGTATAATATTAATAACGTGAGAGAAATTGTTTACCTGCTACATATAAATACATACTATGGCCTCAGGCCTCTCAATATAGCTAGAGGGGCCACAGTTTCGGCTAGAACTTTGAGAAGCTGACTATTTCAAGCTGCTGCAGTAAATTTAGGAAACGATATATTTAGGACTCATGAAAGAAGAAAAACCCGAGGATAAGTTTTAGTCATCAATACGATCACGTAAATATAAAAGGACGGTTGCGGTTAATTTTAGTTCATGAGAAATCCTGGGGTTTCCTGCGAAACCAATAATTATGAAATTTTGTATAATGCCATTATTTAAAATAGAACTATGTGATCTTACATTTTCACAGTTTTGTTGTGGAACGGCAAAACTGCAGTTTTCTTCGATGTATTCATGGATATAAGCTTTTTAATTTATTTAAGTTTTGCTCTTTATCTTCAAGTCCTGTACTTTAGGTTTGCCGTTTGTGTAGTGTACGTTATACTACTACATGTAATTTAGTAATATAGTAATATAGTCTAACAGTTGATCCATGTAGACAGTATACATACCAAGAGTTCCACACTGTATACAATACTGCACAAATTACTAAGTTCTTTATTTGACACATTTGACACATTCCTAAGTATCGCATGTAAAAATAACCTGGCATTTTCTCAAAATTGGTATCTGATTTCAGGAATAATATTGCAAGCGGGATATTACACAGTTCATACTTTCAGCAAAACAAGATATGGACCAGTACTTTCAACTGCCAAAGTACACGTATCTTGGTGGTGATGAAAGGGAGCTCACTCTCAGGGAGACTATCAACCGACTGGAGGTAGAACTTTCTAGACCAAAATTTCAATAATAAAACAGTCCATTCTTTACAGTTACAGACCCATTTACTTCGTCATAACAGATAAGGTTACCGTGAGGTAACTAGCTTTAAGAAGATTCTAGATATACCCTAAGAAGATTCGACAGGGCCCTTCTTCGATTAACCGTCAATCACGTACTTTCCGATCATTCGGCTGAGTCGACCGGAGGGGTTTGCATAAATTCCTTGCCGCATCCTCTGGTTTATTGACAATTCGGCCCACATGTACTTGCTACAGCTAGATGTTGTAAGTTGAGATAAAGTTTAACTGATTTATCGGCAAAAAGGAGTGCACGGCAAAATGTATATTTAAACACTTAAACACAAAATGCTTATTGTTTTTCTTTCAGAGAGTATACTCCGGATCTATTGGTGCAGAGTTCATGCACATGCACGATCCTGGGGCAAGTAAGTCAAAGTAATGGGAAGTTATGTAGTGCGGTTGGAACTGTCTCTAATTTTTAATTCCTAAATTGATTGCATCACAATTCAGTTAGTACTTCAACTTCCACGACTTTTCCTGAAATTACCTAAGATTTTCCATACTTTTCACATGACGCGAAAGGCAATATGGTTGACAACGTCGCGCAACAATGCGCGCATCACAAAATTTAACGCGCGCGGAAACAATCAGTTCGACTCTGATCTCACTCATCAGTCTTAGTATAACGACCTATTCATGTAGGGAATTAACGGATTATAGCACTATACAAAATATACTATACTATAAAAATATATGACGACTTTACTACTACTGTAAAACATCAAATCTGACGCACCAAAATTGGCAAATTACCCTTGTGAAGTAAATTAAATGGTCATAGAATTTGGTGTTTTACAGTATAATCATTACAATTGACAAACGGCGATGAGGTCGGTACCCTAAAGATTTTTGGCGACGTGAATGTTACCTTTTACATATCTGTGGGTTGTGCATTTATGGCACACCCACATTCAGTACTTGTGAACTACTCGTTAGCCGAGTATTAATTATAATATGCGCTATTCCCACGCTTACATCTCAATTTACCAGGAGAGTATATCAGAAAGTGGGTTGAAAAACCCGGAATAAGGAACATGACCAGTGAAGAGAAGCGAATCTTATTAGCCCGACTTGTTCGATCTACCAGATTTGAAGAGTATCTTGCGAAAAAATGGCCTAGTGAGAAAAGATTCGGGTTGGAGGGCTGTGAGGTAATTTTAACATTTAATATTGTTGTGATTTAAGAGAATGGACGATAGGGCAGTCGGTACTATAGCCTTTAATTAATGTAGCTGGGTGGGAAGCACAAGGATGTATTACCTAAATTACTGGAAAATGCAGCCCTCTAACAGATACTGTTTCTCTTTCATGAGAACAAACAACCCTGAAATTAAACCTTGTTCAGGTACTGATCCCAGCCATGAAGCAGATAATCGACATTGCTAACTCTCGGGGGGTTGATAGTTTCGTGATAGGAATGCCACATAGAGGCAGACTTAACGTGCTGGCTAACGTGTGCAGGAAGGAACTTGAGAAACTCTTCAACCAGTTCAACCCTGATCTGACACCAGAGGATGAGGTTTGGGAGGCTGTTGAATGCAGATAGTGTTCTTTTCTGTACAGCCTTTTCTTTAGTACAGTTTTTTTTTTGTTCTAGCTAAGAATATATTGTGCCTGGGTGATTTGGCACCTGCTTTAATTCCTATATCAATAAAGCCACTCGAGGGAATGTTTCATATCTCACTTTTCAGGGTTCTGGTGATGTAAAATATCACCTTGGGATGTATCACCGCCGCATCAATCACCTGACCAACAAAGAAGTAGAGCTATCAGTAGTCGCCAATCCCTCGCATTTAGAGGCTGTCAACCCTGTCGTCTGTGGTAAAGTCAGAGCAACCCAATTCTTTAATGGCGATGAAGCTGGACAGAAGGTTCGTCAAATAAACAACCCGCCCCCCCCCCCCCCCAGCCCCCCGCTACCATCTAGTCTACAAGATGACTGTTACTTACTCTTGTTAGACTTGACGCTATTATCTGATAATGAGTTGCTGAAATTTTGAAGTATTCTATGCTTTGAACCAGCAATAATGCACAAAATGTAATTGTGGGTTTACACTATAACAAGCTGTTTAAACAACATTCCCTCTCAGACCATGGCTATCCTACTGCACGGTGACGCGGCGTACAGTGGACAGGGAGTAGTGTACGAAACTATGCATCTCAGTGACCTGCCAAGTTACACTACTGGAGGCACAATCCACATCGTAGTCAACAATCAGGTTAATAACCATCCACTTTATCAACCTGAAGCTGAGATTATCAGATGCCATCCCTATCCCGTAATTTCGAGTGATGAACCTCCGTTCTTAATTTATTAAATTTACTTTGAAATCTAAAACCCAAAATTTGAATCCATTGAATAGTTGAAATTTTATCAATCTCGTGCTCCAGGTGGGTTTCACAACAGATCCCCGATTTTCCCGGTCCTCTCCCTACTGCACTGACGTTGCCAAAGTTGTTAATGCTCCCATACTTCACGTTAACGCTGATGATCCAGAGGCGGTTATGCACGTGTGCAACGTGGCTGCTAACTGGCGCGCCGACTGGGGTGAGATGTGCTTTTAAACTCAAGGAGATATCTTGAAACTTGTGTACCAATTCTCTTATCGAATTGTATTACTTTCAATGTTGAGACGATTTTTATTATTACTTTACTAGCTGTAACAATGAACGTGAACCTCGGCCTCTTCTGCTCAGGAGGCATGTATTGCTGAGGAACAAGCAAATTTGTGCACGAAGATAAAATTAGGGATCCAATTAAGAAAAGAACGACTGTGCTGATGTATCTGTTGTATCTGTTGATGGGTCCAGTTTTCAATAACTTCTTGCAGGTAAGGACGTCGTGATAGATCTAGTGTGTTACCGACGAAACGGTCACAACGAGGCGGACGAGCCCAGTTTCACCCAGCCCCTCATGTACAAGAGAATCAGGGAGCTGCCCAATGTGCTGAACAAATATGCTGACCAGTTGGTTGCGGAGGGAACTGTCTGTCAAGCTGATATTGACGTGAGTTCTGCAGGGCTGAGAGTCACATACTGTACTTATTGAAGCGTTCATAATAATTAATGTACTAATACAATAATTTTAGAAGAACTAAAAAAGTTAACCTTCTTGTCATGTTTGGGTGCAGGTGAGGCAAAAGGAATATATCTGGCTAAGTTATCTGTTCGACAAATTAAAGAACTAAATTGAGTCTCGCTAATCAGGAAGAGATAGCAGCATTCGATAAGATCATGAACGAAGCTTATCAGAAGAGTACTGCCATCACCAAGATGAAGCTCACTGATTGGTTGGACAGTCCCTGGGACCATTTCTTCGAGGTAATATTTGCTTTCCCCCTCTATACCTACCAGTGTTGTAACAGAGTATGTCACAGTGTTTCAACAGTGTTGTAATAACAGTTTATGTCAGTAGGTGAATAAACAACCACAAGACGTTTAAACTCAATAAGTGAACGTGAATCTCGGCCTGATCAATAGAGCAACCAGTCACACTTTATATTCTGTATATTATATTGTGTCCCTCACCAGTCTCCCTCTTAGTGTGACGCGAACAAAGTGCCAATTCTACGTGAAACGCCCCCCACCGGTATCAGCGACAGTGTTCTGAAGAGAATAGCAGAGACTTTCAGTGCTGATCCCCCCATCAAGGTTCATCCGGGAATCAAGCGTATTCTGAAGGTACGTGTTATTGTTGTTGCGAAAATGGTGAAATATTCGTAGGACGGGTGCCAAATAAGTTCGCTATATATTCGAAAATTCTTAAATAATATGACGTTATTAAGTGCTGCCTTTGTTCTTAATGCTATTTAAGTAGAAATAATGCTAATGTTTTAGAGTGCATATTTCTGGACTTTATTAAGTTTGATGATCTAAAGTGGGGTGTTTTACTGACCACACCCACAGGGACGAACAAAGATGGTGGAGGCTCAGCAGGCAGACTGGGCACTGGGCGAGGCGCTGGCTATTGGCTCCCTCCTCATGGAGGGCTACCATGTGAGGCTTAGTGGGCAGGATGTGGAGAGAGGTCAGTCGGGGCAGGGGGGATATTAGGATTACTGATTAGGCTTTGTTGGTCGCAACCCGGACAGTTCGCTTATATCGCATATTAAGACGCAATGAAACTATCGGACCACGATGTCGGATCACGATATGATGGCTGCTGTAATGCGTTCAATTTTAGGCTTATCTCCATTTAAGCCGGGATTTTTTTTTCAGAAAGTTGAGATTATTTCATCTTAATTTGACTCCAAATTACATGTTTAAATCTGGAAATATTCGTCAATTAACATCTTGACGAAGTAATTGAGCTATTAATTCCATATAAATTTTATGGATTCGATGACTTCGATTTAGTCGGGAGTGCGAGAGTTCCAACATACATTATAGATTATACTTATAGATTATGATAAATGATTTGTCGTGTGAAATATTACAATGTTGATTTGTAGAGCTGGTTGATTTGCACAAATTACTGTTAGGATGAGGTAAATCTCAATGATGGGTTTTCGAGATAGGTCTGTTTCATGTATAAAGTGGCATACATTCAACATTTTTGAAAACAAGTCTAGCGTATGAAATTGAACTGAGGCCATTTCTTATCCAATTTTTGGAGTGTTGTCACTAACCAACTTCGTAGCGTTTATCTAAGTTAGTTCTAGAGGCAAATTGTAATGTGAGTTGTGACTTAAATTAGCAAATTTCTGAATTGTGCTTCATCAAATGTACTGAACCACTTAAACTACAATTAAAATCAAGAAAAATTATTAAATAAATTATCATTCTTACTGGAAAATATTTGAAAAAAATCCCGGTCCCGGACGGGATTTTAGATTTGTCCTGGTCCCGGTCCCGGCCGGGATAAAATTCCGGTCGACCACTGGTTATACACCACGAGGTGTGTTAACTTGACACGTGACATACCACAGGAACATTCTCACATCGTCACCACGTGTTGCACGATCAGGACGTGGACGGAAGAGTGTACAACCCTCTGCAGAACCTGTCCTCCTCTCAGCAGAAATACTCTGTCAGCAACAGCTCCCTCTCAGAGTTTGGAGTTTTAGGTTTGTCTTCTTACACTAATAGTAATAAGTGATATACTATTTATACACGTGATTTGTTACTTTGACACGTGTTGGCGGTGTTAGTAATCGTAGACAGTACGTGAGCCAATTTTTTTTTCCCCAAACTATCATTTTTTTGTCATGATCTACAGTTATATGAAGAACAAAATAACAGGAGATTATTTACTGAGATAATTATTGGAATAATTTACTTGCATACTTACTGAGATAATTTACTTGGATACTTTGTAAAATTATTTACTGAGATAATTTACTTAACTGTTTACAAAGATAATTAACTCGGATACTTAATAACATTATTTACTGATATAATTTACTTAGCTATTAACTGAGATAATTTAACCCATCGTTATAGATGGGCAAAAATAGTACAGCCTAGTAAAAATGATACATTATATCAGTTAAGATAACGGAAATGAGATGGAATAAGTGAAGATGTAAAAAAATAATAGTAAATCCAAATAATATCATTAATTCATTCAAAGTGGTAGTTACTTATTCTTTTTTTTAATGTTCACTTAAGAATAGTTTTTATAGTTTTTATAGTTTTTATAGTTTTTATAGTTTTTATAGTTTTATAGTTTTATAGTTTTTATAGTTTTTATAGTTTTTATAGTTTTTTAAATTTATAAACCCACAATATCGAGAATCACAATGAAAGATAAGGTCAGTGGTCAATGCAACAGTCAACACAGAGTTGCACATATGTACTCATAACTCTTGACTACTCTTTTTTTAGAGCCTTTTTCTTCAGTTCTTCTTTAACAGTTCTTCCTTAACAGTTCTTCCCTGTCCGCTCTTCCTTGACAGCTCACGATCAGAAGCCAGTTTCTACTGGTGTCGCTGCCGGTAGAACTGAAGTGACAGTATTGTTCTTACTAACTCTGTTAGCCGGGTTGGTTAACATTGTTCTGATGTCTAATTCGTCTTCTAGCTCTGTTTAGTCTTCAGATCCCTTTCACGAACTCTCTGAGAGAAGGCATCCTCCAAAAGTATAGGATAGGGTTAGCTGCTGAGTTGGCAGCTAGAAGCAGATTGTGGGTGGTGTTAAAGTAATACCTCTGTTTATCAAACCAGTACAAACTAAAATACCACCTTAACATTCCTGCGGACCAGCTGTATGTCCACAGAATGTAATTAACTACCAGAGCAATATTACAAACTCCGTACACTAGTGCGAACAGTAAGATAGTCACTGTGGCTCTGTTCCGGGACTTTTGTAGCTCTCTTTGCTGGACATGCCGGTTTCTTCTTCCAGTCAGGAGCACGACTGATAGAACACAGCTTGTAGCCACTACAACTGCAGGGGCGGTGTAGACTAAGTTATCACTCACCAGCACCACCATGGTCGTAATGACATCCTTGTTATTAGCGATAAACAGGACACAGCGTGAGTACCAAGGGTAGAAAATAATCTCTGGACCATCCTGCAAGAGGAGCCCTATCGTCCTAGCAGACTTAAGCAAGAAGTACACAACTACAGCTACGATCAGATATTTAGATTTCTGATGTTTAAAAGGTTTCGACAGTGAAACTGTCCTAGTTATGCTCAGACATATAACAAGGAAGATGCTCAAGGCGACAGAGATGTCCCACACATAAAACCAAGCTGCACAACCAAACTGGCCCCCGAACAGGATACCCGGTTGTCTTTTAGACAGGAAGGATATTCCTACAGGAAGAATGGCCACGCTGATGACTATATCGTTTGTTGTGATCATCATGTAGATTGATCTTGAGATGTCTCTTCTTTTTGATCTGAAGAAGAGGAAGCTGGCTACGTTCCCCGATGTCCCGATTATGAAGCAGAAACAACAGATAATCCCGTAAGTCACATCTGCTGCGCGATTAAAGTCCATTTTGTCTAAGTTAAACGAATTTTTAGGATCTCAGGGGAAAATCTGTTAGTTGTCAAATTTAAGCTATCAACAGCTCCTTTCAAGGTCCCGAACCCAAACTGAAATATTCTTCTCTCCTATCTTTTATGGTTTATAAAGAGGTCATTTTGCTGTCACTCCCCTCTAAAAAAGGAATTATCCCTGGATAGCATAGATCATTGATCATTTTTCCGACCTGTTCCCTTATTTTCCTTTAAACGACTATCGATTAGCTTTCATCCACGAAGTTCGCTCACCTGCGATACAATATTGCACACCATGATCTCAGAACATAAGCTGTGGCCTGTGACTTGATTATTTTCATTTTCCCCATTTTATAGGTATCACAGAAACATGACTATAAACTTTGCTCACGCACGACCGTTTTTGCAAAATTATTATACCTTTCCTGTATAATAACAGTTGAGATAACCCTAATATTTTATGGATCATTGACCATTTTATAGACCATTTTATTTTTTTCCATCAAATTATTTTAGAATTAGCTTACTAATAGTCGCTCACCTGCAGAAAAGTGCAAAAAATAACATCACGTACGAGCATATATTTGCAAAATTAAACAGTTCTTCCATAATATATAACAGCTGATGACAAAACGAATTTTAGAGTAGAATACCCTGCACGGCGGGGAGAAAAATGGACGGATATTTATAGGAAGGCACTCCACGTACAGCCAGCATTTCTGCAAGTCTTATATTTTACACAGCACTCTGTTCGACTAAACGTTTCCACCACCGCAGGATTTGAGCTGGGTTTCAGTCAACATAACCCCAACTCCCTGGTGTGCTGGGAGGCCCAGTTCGGGGACTTCTTCAACACTGCTCAGTGTATTGTGGACCAGTTCATTAGCTCAGGACAAGACAAATGGGTGAGGATGACTTTTAATTGCCACTCATTTAAGTTTTTCGTCGGCAGGATTTAAACTGGCAGTGGCTGAAATTGACTATTAAAATTGCTTTTTCACCCCAATAAAATACTCAAGAAGATTATTCAATTTAGTCCTTTGGTCTAATCGTGTTGGTTATACCATATATAATATATCTCTTTAATTCCGCACTGAATTTACCTTGCTCCTCTTCCCCCAGTACAGACAGAGTGGACTGGTGATGCTCCTCCCTCACGGTATGGAGGGCATGGGTCCAGAACACAGTTCTGCCAGAATGGAGCGCTTTTTACAGATGTGCAACGACAAGGAGGACTCTAAGTACGAGGTTCGATCCGCAAGTGACGATTTATGTCGCGTAGTCTTAGGGTTCGTTCACATATTACGTAATCAGCTGAGGGGGGGGGGGTTCCAAATGATTACGCTAGTGCAATTTTGACACTTGATAGCTATGTGTAAAACTGATTACGGAGGGGGGGAGGGGGGTAAAAATGTTCCAAAAAATGATTACGTAATATGTGAACGACCCCTTATCATGACGTCACGTGGTCTAATAGTGACGTCACAAAGTCACGTGCGCGATAGATAAGAAACTCACACCAACTGTTGAATTGTTTTTTTATGACATGTCCTAAATATGGGCGTGGCGAGGGTTTTTCCAGTTTGAATTGAAGCGTCAAAAATTTGTTGGCTGTTATTTGACCTGTGGAAACAACAGATAAGCCGGAGATAGCAATAATTTGATACCATGAACCTCCCTAATGTTTATGCCATGTTTATGCCATGTTTATGACACTAAGTGATCACGTGGCAGGGTGTGAGTGCAGACCAGCAACTGTGGGACTGTAACTGGCAGATAATGAACATTACCACCCCGGCTAACATGTTCCACGCTCTCAGGAGACAGATGCACATGAAATTCAGGTCAGTCATACCTTCACTGGCATAATTATTACTTACGTGCATAATTATAATTATTTATTATCATCATCCATCATCTATTAATCAATTATCCAATAAATGTCCTCTTTCCGCCATCGATGAATTTTCAATAATTTCTTCTTTTTTTATTATATAATTTCCTTGATTAATGTCTAAGAAATTCATGAATTCGAAAGCTAATATCAGAAAGGCCATTATTCCCAAACATCTGATCGGTAATTAACTCCATTATTCTTATTTTTTTCAATTTTCGATTAAATTCTTTTTACTACATGAATATGATGCAATGACATTGAAACGTTGACGAATTTCCTTTACCTGAAAACTGAAAAGAGCATTTTCCCTTGGCCTTTGTTTCAATACCCGAAATCATCAGACATTTTCATCAGAAACAATTTTTATGAGACAGCATTCCGAGCAAAGAGTGTAACCACAATAACTTCTCATCAGAGTAGACAGCGCGGACTTAAAAACCTGTCCTTACGTCTCCGCGACAGGATTTTAAGCCGCTGAGGGACAATTATCATGACAATTACTGTAAGTGCCAGACATTGCCGCAACTTTAAACTTTTTGAACCCCGCTAAATTTTAACATGACGACAATGTCCTTTTCTTATCGCAGATTACTGATTTTTACCTCCTCGCATGACCAATGTGAAGAGGTTTTTTTTGATTTTTTGCCAAGATTCTTTTGACGAGAAAAAAAAAGGAGCTGACCATGACCAGTCTGAAGAATCAAAAGTCAGTTTCTGCTGAATCATTTCCGCTGACGACGATAGTAATTTTATGGGTTAAGATCCCAACTCTAAATTCCCTCAGCCGCAACTAAACCCATTCCTCTAAATCCATAAACCTAAATACTAAATAGGTACCTTCTCAGGAAGGCGACAATTTACAAATTGGCAACTTTTCAGGAAGCCGCTTGTTGTATTCACACCAAAATCCCTTCTCCGCCACCCTCTGGCAAGGAGCTCTTTTGACGAGATGACCCCTGGTACATCCTTCAAAGCCATCATCCCAGAAGACCGTGACATTTCGAACACTAAGAAACTCATTCTCTGTTCGGGAAAAGTTTACTACGATCTTTTGGAGGTACGGCTGGATCTCGAACTTTATTTAAACTAGTCATTTACTAAGATCATTTAAATTTTAACACGTATTAGAGCTTGAGAATAAACAAGTTTTAAATATATTGAAGCTAGCAAGTAGCATAATATTAATACACATAACTTTGAAATATTTCCATGGTAATAACAACCGTGATAAAATTAAACATATAAACAAACATAAATTTCAATTTGTTTTGTATCACGTGACCATGATTTACAGGAACGTGCTAACAGAGGGTTGGAGGACAGTATTGCCATCACCAGGATAGAGCAAATCAACCCCTTCCCTCACGCTCTTATAGACAGTGAACTTAACCGGTACGCTCCGGGCACTCAGGTAACTTTACGCCAGTTTTAATTTTACCCAAATTCATCAAATAATGACATACACAAATTTATCAAATAATACTCTAAGAGGGCCGGGGTCTTCATCAAAATTCTCTCGAAATTGATTTTATTGTTGTTTCTGATAGAGGGGAGTGATATCTATCAGCTGCTTTTGGTCCTATGTATTTTGTATTGTTCCTAGCCGAAGTTATCGCCAGTCAAAGGTCAGCTCTCATGTGTAATTGTAATTGTATTGCGTGAACGATTTTCAATCGTGCGCCCTGAAAATCGAGTCTATAAATCTATCTTCTCCTATATTTTTAAGGACCATTCAGAAGAGATTTTCGGGCCAGAATTTTGGGATAAGCCTTATAGAAATGCCTTATTAGAAAATGTTTTATTCGATTTTGAAAATCTTGGACCTGGAAAAATCGTTAAAAAACGAGGTCCAAGATTTTCAAATCGAATAAAAAAATTTCTAAGGACTATCTCGATCTCTAAATTCTGGCCCGTTATTTTGTGGTTGTTTGGAATTTATTTTGTGGTTGTTTGGAATTTATAAAACCAATGATGCCACTACTAGAATAAGCTTTGCTTGACGATCTTTCACCCTAGCAACCCGTAATGCTGCATATTTGTTAACTAGAAGTAGATGGCAAGAAGTATGACTGCATGTGTATGAGCGGCTAGGTAACGCGCGGCTAGGTAACGCGGCTAGGTAACGCAGCGTTATCACAAATGGGTTGTGAACGTTACTGCGGAGGAGAATTGTCTCAAAGAACAATTTAAATAACAACAAATAAAACTTGTAACTGTATAATATTAGCTTTAATTAAATAACTCGCAATTAAATAACTAACACGGAATTATCCCTTGACAGATCAGTTGGGTACAGGAGGAACATAAGAACGCAGGAGCGTGGACACACGTGAAACCTAGACTTGAGAACCATCTCACTGGAGATATCCACTGCGGGTGAGTTATAATACTTAATATCTTGATATAACTTTCTCTTGTATCTTATGGATAAGGGCCAATATTTGGATAAATAGCAGTAACACCAACTTGTGCCAAAAGTGGAATGAAATTCCTATGCTATCAGTATCAATGTATCTGGAAAACTGTAAAATACTCAAAAACCACGAAAATAGCTGACATGGTCGGACAGGTCAGTGGTCCAAGTTTCGTGATCGAATCTGTATTTCAAGATAAAGCGGCATTATCCGGCTCCAGAAAGAGTTTTTAATCAGTGTACTTCAAGTTACACAATCACTATTTCTATGTGAAATATTGACTATTGAGACAGTATTTGCCACTATTTCAGCAGTATATTTGTGATTCAGCCCGATGTCCTCGATATTGTTGATCTGAAAACAACCTGAACACGTAGGATACCGTAGAATGGGGGAACTTCGCCATGTTTTACAGCTATTTCATGTTATTTAGAAAATACGACACGAGTACTTGAAAAAGTTTATAGGTCATATGAACAGGATTGGTAAAGCAAATGTTTTCGTATGAACCACATCAGCCAGGCATAAATAGTCAGCTAGATTGGTGCCACTGAAATCAGGGCGAAGTTACCCTGCAATATGGGGTAACTTCGCCATTCTGAAACTATACCATATTCGGTGCTAAGCACCATACCACTCGAAACTCAATTATATTTCCTTGATATACCTGCCAATTTTACTTATCTAGCTCTAGCCTGCGTGTTACAATGGGCAATTTGGTCGCCGGGGTAACATCGCCATGCTGTGGGTAACATCGCCGGGATGAAGTAGAAATGTAGTCGAACTTCGCCAATACACGTGCGTGACTTTGCCAGCCGCGCGCGAATTTCGCGCCAAACTTCGCCGAACAGATGGGATCAGAAGAGGGTAACTTCGCCACACACAAATTTGAAAACTTTATAATATCAGTTGTGTGCATCATGGCTAACTAAATTCGCCCTTAAATGAACAGGACATATGCTAATGATGTCACACAGAATTTATTAAGGATATAATTGTAAAATATGGGAAATATGCAAGCAGGAAATTTTAGCCACTTTATTGCATTATTTCATGTTGCCTGAGTTTAATTAACATCGTAAACGTTTATTTTTGAATAGGAATACCTTTATAACCATTTGTTCAACACAATACTATACAAAAACTCGATCTCCTAACAATTCAAAACCGTAAAATGATTATTTGAAAAATAGTGGCGAAGTTCCCCGACACGGCGATTTTACCCCAATCTACGGTACAGGGACATTGTGTTTTCTTGCAATGTTGCGGTTAACTCAAATATGTATGGAATTTATTCCCCTTTGCGGGATATATTAAGACGCAATGAAACTATATCCGCCGGAAGAACTTATGATATTATCAACGTGACAGAAAGCGGGCCGAGCCTTAACTCAGTGCTATTGACTGCATTTTAACTAACATTAATTAAAGTCTAAAGACATAATGTGTCAATAAAATAAACTTTAGGTCGCCTAGTAATCAGGTTATTTCAAAGGGCAAACACGGGTACCTTCGTTTGTTCGCTCTTCAAACTCACCATAAAAATACGATACTTCCCACGCCCTATCGACCACATATTTCACGGTACCTGACTTTCCCTCTTCGGTAAATAATCCCTCGCTAATCTTGGGTAACTCATCTCAAAATGGAAATTCAGCTACAAATCTTATTAGATGGGTGACGCTGCATATTATTATAATTTTTGCGGTGGCTTTCTGTCATATTCCTGCAAAATCATGGAAATTATTAAGTCATAAAAATAAGATTTACGTTGTTCCAAGCGAGCGAATTAAATCAGAATTAAAATATTATTTTATTGTAAAATGCAAACATTGGGTTTTGGCGACATGCCATGAAAAAACACTAATTATAGTTCTACGGAGGAAAAAATCGGGCGATAGGAGGGCGGGGCGGCCTGTTGCTTTGATGAGTTTGACTCAATTCATATCTTTCAAAACTTGTGCACGCATCGGCATATATGCATATTTATATTATCAGTAAAAAGAATTACGTCATATTTCAAAGTACCTGTTTCCTGTACACGTGGATATATAACTAGATTTCAGTCTTTGCTGTAAGGGAGGGTTCCAACATTACATCAATATTTTAAGGGGGTTTGAAATGCTGAAGCTAATTTTAATACAGTAGCGATGTTGCAAAAAACTGAGTGGAGGCCCTCACTGGAGGGGTCAGAAGAAAATTGGTTGAATTTTGTTCATAATAAAACGTTCATAACTATTTATATACACCTTAACAAATGTACAAATAGTCCTAATTCCATTCCGTATTCACTTTTTCGCTACGAAGGATCAATTAAATTGTGACATAATCAACAAAAGCACTTGCAGAGCACTCACCTGCACTTGCGCAGCACTCACCTGTAATTGCACAGACTGATTGCGGTTTCTAACTCCCAGACTGTTTATCTAATTTTCTGGCCTGCTAAACTTAAGCTCTAAACTTAACTCACTCTTCTACTAATCTCGCTTCAACCACAAAGGCTCTCGTCGTTGGCCAGAAGATGAGAACATTGTCCACCCCGACCGTAGCGGTACCTGATTCCATGATTTTGGGACACTAAACGGCTTCTCTGTACCCTGAGTTCACTCTAAGTCTAATTCCTGACCGTAACAAATTGTGTGCGTGACCCGTTACAAAAAACTGCAGAACATTGTGCCGGTCTGGCGACGATGAGACAGAGTATGCATTGCCTTGCCCCCCCCCCCCCCCCCCCATCGCTCTACAATGTAAAAATGAGATCACAATGAAAAATGAGATTGTCTGCCTAAATTCTTACACTAATGGACTAATGTGGCATGAGATACACCAAAATCTGATATTCTATAATCTGACATTCCTGTAGGAAAAGTCTGAAATGTTTCAGCCTTGAGTGATTGCGCGAAACGGATGGGTAATGGACCTGGTGTTAGGTATATTAGCAAGGGTCTAAGAACTTAGTCCATGTCATTTTCAAGGGGGCTTAGGATAGGATTCTGAATTTTATGAAAATTGAGTTATACCTTCGGGAAGGATCGAGAAGGAATTTAGCAATAAAGATCAAATTTAATAAGAATTATTCTCCTCAGATACCACGGACGAGAGCCAGCTGCGTCTGCTGCGACAGGAAACAAGAAGCTCCACAAGACGGAGTATAAGAAAATGATGGACGACAGTTTCGCTCTGTGATCTGGACTACCTATCATGTCCTGATCAGCCCCTCTGTGGCTATAGCAGCCGAATTATCGTCAATATGGGATTTATAATGGGTTTCGATAACAACGTGAAACTGAGATTGTTTTTGAATATTTATAGGTTTTAGCCGTAGTTAAGTTGAATTATTATATTAAAATAGTTTTCAACACAATTATAAACCTTAAATATGGCCCTATTATTTATTAAAATCGCTTTTAACACGATGGTTATTTCGGCGTCATGAAGCATGTAACTTTAACAAAACTGCAGTATTTTCTGGGAATATTTGAGTTCGTAAACCACAGAGCTGCTTAAGTTTTTGTCGTGGGCCCGGAGCAACCGAGTTATCCGCAGAATGTGACTGTGAACCTAATTTAAGGGGAGACAATTGCGATTTGGGCATATTTATTGTGCCCCCTCGAACCTGTTTGTTCGGTGGTATAATGTAGGTAGGTCTGTACTCAACTGTGGGTTAGGATCTATCGATGATAAACATCAAGCACTTTTGTAAAGTTGTAAAGTATTTTGGAACTATTTAAGAGATGTTATTTGTAATATCCGTTTGACTGCTGTCAATCCTTATTTTTTTCGCCCACCATACACTGTCATGTTCTTTGTTATGAAAATAAATGAGATCATCGAATAAAAAACAAATACAGTGTCCCACATTCACTGTTCGGCAGGGGATGATTAAATCCTTGATTTAATCAGATTCAAGTGAATGCAAAGTGAAACAGAGGTATGCACACCATGAAGCATTTACATTGTCCAGTGCCCCGTAATGACTAGGATCACAAATTCGATTGTACGTTGTATTCCTAACCTGGTGGGTTGTGTTATCAGTGTTCCGGTTATAGCAGGGAAGATGGGACAAATACTCAGTGTGTGTGGTCAGACTGCACTGCTCGCTCGTGGTGCTGTAGGATTTAGAAAGAGATCTTAATGGGGAAAATAATCTCCAAATATGGTGAAATATTTCCACGATATTCTTGTATTTCTGTGAAATAATTTCTCCCCTTTCTCAGTTTCTCCTAGATGGTGAATGTTCAGAGCGCATTGATATAACCAAATGTAATCGCACACAAGAGCCAGGCTGCAGCCGCTACCTTGGGTGCCCGCTACATGTGGCATTACAGTGTTCACAGAACTCCCAAACTCGATTAGATAATACGAGAAGAGACCCGGGGTGTCCAATGGGTGAGCAGGACGAGTTCACGTGATCTGACTTGAAGATCACGTGATATCCACCACAACCAATCGTCTCCAGGATACCTCGTTCTTCTGCAAACATCACGTGACAGTCGTCAGGGTAACGACTGGGTAACCATGGACACGTGACCCGGCGATCCAGGGCCCTGGTTGGTGAGCTTGGGTCCGGTGTTTTCATTGCTGCTCCCCTCAAACCACGTGTTTTTCTGGCCGGCGCTTACTTTTTGTGAAATGCTCTCTCCACGCCATGTTGTTAAATAAATACCTGCAGTTCCTAGTATATGGGAGTGCAGAGAACACACCTATAGTCCAACACGTATAACACTACCTGCTGCTTTGTTATACCCCTCTTTTTAGATTTATATTGTCTGCACTTTTAACCTTATATGTGCCTACTGCTTCAAGTATACGTCACCGAATGACGTCATTCAGTGTCAATATAGCAGTGATGTAATCGCGATGACGTCACACTTTTAGGTCATCAAGCCAGTTATAAACCTTATTATTATTGGTGAATTACATCATGCTGACGCATCACCAAAAGTTTTACGGCACTTTTGCAATGCTTTTAATTCCGAAAATTCGATAAAGATGTTGTCACATTCTTTGTGATTTACCTTTGGTGGGTTTATTTTACTTAAGCGTGACCACAAAACTCCAAAGATATCATTACTGATATTTCGATATTTCATCTTGATGATCACGATTATTTTCGATAATATAAAGAGTTGCAGCCTGCAAGTATAAATCGTTTAACTACACTTTACTGTCAAAAGCTTAATGGATCATTATTCTACCTCTCATTTTTTATCATTTTCCTTTTATTATCCTATAACTTATTGTTATTTTGTATAAAAGTATTAACACTTTTATTGTTCTTGTAGGCTTGCCAATTCTCTAAGGCGAATGTCAAAAACATGACAAATAATCTGTCCTTCACTAACCTGTTAACCAGAACTTACAACCGTAACACAACGATTTAAAGTTTACTGTCAAAAGCTTAATATGTTATTTAATTCTTGCTTCTACCAAGTCAAAATAATCGATAATATTTATAAGTAAGTTACTTGAAATGGTTCTTAATCAAAGGTACACTGTCGTGACGTGTAGTTGCACAATGCACTATTAATAGGTCAAAAATATGTGGAATCTGAAGTACTAGTTCATGTTTAGCGAATCTTGCAAATGCAACTGAAGGACTAGAAGTTAAACTTAACCTTTTTACTATAAAAAGCATGCATACCATAAGAGAAACAGTTTGCATTGGTTTTAGTTTAACTGATACGGCGGCCGACTAGATGGCCCAAAGTTTACAAATACAGCCCACATTTTGATTTATTTATTATTATTTTACATTTTCGCGGTTCTCAACTGTTATTGATTTTCGAGTGATGAGTGGAATTTCGCCCGTGTTCCACAGTGTGCCAGCCGTCAAATTTACTTAATTACTGTTAAAAGCAGTACAAGTTTGCCACTCAACCTGCACAGTATCATTTACGGAGTAAAATAAAACCAAACTTGCTACAAGTATCCCTCTTAGTCTTATGATCTTGAAGCAATTATAAAATGTAACGGCCGAATTTGAAATACGCTTCAATCGACAATTTTCTATTCATTCTACTTTTATTTTTAATAAACTATTTAAAATACTGAGATATTACAGGCTTTAAGTTTAATCGCATTTTGTTCATTTATTTCATATTTTATTCTACTTAATAACAAGTATCATGCCTTATACAGATAATATTTTGTGATTATAAATCGTTGCCGAACTATAAATATGATTATTACTTTTTTGTGAACTATGGATTTTTTGACCTCTATATTTTAACGCGAAAAATTACTTTTTCACACCTTCAAATATTGTCTAAAAATAATAGGTCCAGGAGGCCGTTAGCGACCGGAATATTAGCCAGGAACTATTTCAGCCGAACAAGTTAGAACCGTTTATGAAATCTTGCAATGTCCTATACTATAATATCATATATACCTATATATGTCTTCAACATCTTGTAAACTTATGGATGTTACTGACAGTGACGTTAATGATGTTTTAATTTCAAATTAAACGTGGTATGAGAAATATGATTGTTGAAGAATTGAATTTCTTCTAGGAGCATAACAGCTATTACAAAATACATTTATTTAAAATTGCAACATTGTTATTCCTCCTTTGCTAGTAGTACGGTTACGAAACACTTATCTAAATAAGTAAATTTTAGTTTAAACCTAGCCAGTGTTTACAAATAATCTCTCGTTGGATACGTCACCTATCAGTATCTGCAGTTATCAGTAACTTTGTTTTATACATATTGCAATTTCTACGGCTTCTATTTCTCTTATAGTTATACATATGACAATTTTTCATGCCAAAAGAGGATCGTTCACACATCACGTCAGCGACTTTTTGGCTATTAATTGAGACCCCATCCCTCCACGCCTCTCTGACCTGTCAGCAGCTGTAATGTGTAATTTTTGAGTGACCCCTATCTTCTACAAACGGTGGTAATTGCCAAAAACAACCCCTCAAAAGTGCTTCTTTGTAACACTGCCCACTGGTCATTCATTTGTTACGAGGTTCACTAAGTAGTCACTAACCAGCTAAGTGATACTGATAGTGGCTAGTTGGAGAACTTTAACCTTTAAACAACGTACATAGTAGTTAAATCCTTTGTAGCCAGTTGTGACTATTTAGCTTACCTCGAAACATCTAGTCTTCTAAGATTTTGGAGAGGTTCGCTGTTCATCAGCCTCATGATAAGATAACATTTTTGGGATAATATCCGGTAGATAATAACAGTAGTTTCACTTGTCCTACCTTCTCTCTTCTACCGGATATTATCCCAAAAATCATTATCTAGTCTTCTGTTAGAAATAGTAAACTCTTCCCGGACCTCTCTTCCAAAACCTCTCGTGGTCGATCCCAAAGTTGAACTTGGCGTTGAAAAATTATGGGGTCTGCCGTGATTTGACTTTTTCAAATCACAATTCTGTTGACAAATCCATTTCACCTCCATTTACACAACATGATTCTCATTCATAACAAATTTCTGAACATCAGAATTAGAAAACCGTCTTTACACGTGGCAGGTTACAAAAGTTTGAATTTTAGGCGGTCGTCCCACTGCAGCTCACTCAGAACATAGCTGCATTTTATCGAATGATAGGTTATCCCTTGCACTGATTGTTTAAACCGAAAATGAATGAAATTGAATGAATCTCACTCGTATTCATATCGCACCTCATGACTAATACTAGCCATGGAATCAGGGATAATCGGTGGTGGAATTTCTGCGCCATGCTCTGAAATGGTCCTGGTACTAGTGCTACCAACACCAGTACAGGTTCCTGTATCAATCAGTCAGTTGAGAGTTGTGTCTACTGCAATATCATTAAAGAAAATCCACAATCTGTCCTTCTCAAGTGACTTATGATGTGATCAATCAGTCACCTGATATTTCTTATTCTGACAAATCTCCCAATGAGCGTAAACTCTTGCTATAACGAGTGAAGTTGATTGGAAATTGAATCCTGGATCACTGATCAGGCAATCTTGAGATGGTTCCAGAAACGAAATTCTACCATCCAAGTCAGTGCTGACAACAGCAAATCTTGATGATTTTGTGGAAGGACCCATTTTGTGGAAGGACCCAGAAAAATGCACAAAACTTGTTGCAAATTAATGTTTTGTAGGAATTCCAATCGAATTTTATTAAAGTTCTAGAATGTCCCGTCGGACTCGAGACACTTCCATTGTAAATTCTGGGCTGAAATTGGATAAATAATCATCGGTCCTAGAGTGGGACGTTCGTAATTTAGCATTTCAAGCCGAATTCCCAAGACATACCGATAAGCGAGCTATCATTACTGTAATTTGCTAATGGGAAGCAGGCGGTCGTGTTTAAATTCATTCCAACCCACATCCAGGCACTACTACAGGACTCACTATGACGATAACAGTGCAGGGTTTGTTTTGGTGGAGGTGGTGCGTTGGGAGCACTCACCCTGGCTCCTTGTAGTCTCTCCGCAATGGATTACTTTTATCCGAAATCGCATTATCTGGCCGGGAAAAATACCAGCTCGCTTGCTCTCGTCCCAAAATAGAAATCGGAGGGACTTGTTTGCGTTAGGTGATTAGTAGCTCGGTAGCAGTCCAGGGGCGATGTGATTGGAGGACTGTTCTGCGATCTGAGCAGTGATTGGCTAAGGGGCCGGAACTAGATCTGAGCCACAAATTACCTGGGTATATGACAAACAGATCGGGGGCTAAGAGGAGCGATCTTTTAGCAAATTAGGGGTCAGATCAGGAAAACGAGGTCTGATTGGAAGGAGGTGGTCACGTGATGAAGACAACGCACCTGATTGGTGGAGCAGATTTTGTTTGCACTT